GTCCAACGAGCGGAAGCCAGATTTCTAACAGGAGCGGGGTACAGAGAGCATACGACTCCTCTGTTACGCCAGCTCCACTGGCTGCCAATTAGCTTCCGAGCACAATTCAAAGTGCTGGTCTTGACCTATAAATCCCTAAACGACTCCGGTCCAGTTTACCTGTCTGAACAGAATCTCCCCTATGAACCATCAAGGTTACTAAGATCTTCCGGAGGGGCCCTGCTCTCGGTCCCACCACCCTCGCAATCGCGTCTGGTGGGAACGAGGGACAGGGCCTTCTCGGTGGTGGCCCCTCGGCTTTGGAATTCCCTCCCACCAGAGATTAGATCTGCTCCTTCCCTCCTGACCTTTAGAAAGCTAATAAAAACCTGGCTTTGGAATATGGCATTTGATGATTGAGTCAATAACCCTGGTCCACATGGAAAGATGAATTGTGACTGTATTTGACGACTTGGCTTGTGTAATGTGATGATGTATTTTATTGTATTTTATATTTTAATGTATAATGATGATGCACTGCACTGTTTTTATATTACTGTATATAAACACATGTTGTGAACCGGCCTGAGTCCCTCCTTGGAGGTTGAGAACTTCTAAATAAATAAATAAATAAAATAAAAAGAGATAGAGTTTGGAGTGTGCTCTCGCTTCATGAACTGCTGAAGAAGTTTATCCACATGGACAAAGATAGGTCATTTTAAATCTCTCATAAAAGGACATTATGTGAGTTGGGTTGTTGTAGGTTTTTCGGGCTATATGGCCATGTTCTAGAAGCATTCTCTCCTGGCATTTTGCCTGCATCTATGGCAGGCATCCTCAGAAGCTGTGAGGTCCTCAGAAGTTAACAGACCTCACAACCTCTGAGGATGCCTGCCATAGATGCAGGTGAAACGCCAGGAGGGAATGCTTCTAGAAAATGGCCAGACAGCCCAAAAAACCTACAACAACCTAGTGATTCCGGCCATGAAAGCCTTTGACAAGCCTTCAACAATACATTGAGTTGATGCAACTGACCACATTGTAATATGTTGTTCTGAACTACAAAGATTAAACTACTTGTTTCTCTGGCAAGGCAGTGTGTGGGCTGATCAAACGTGAACTACACATGTTTATTTTTACATTACGCCACATATTTTGCCTCAGGAGGACCCAAAAGCAGGGTGAAAGTTTATTCCATTTAGAGCGCATTCAAGAGCAAAAGCCATTCTGTTTTTGGCCATAGTTGAATACAGTAATAGCAGAATATGAGCAGTCCAGGTGTCCTGGGGAATGCATGCGCCCTATTACCTTCCTGCTCCATGCACCCATGCACATACACACACGTCCCTTTGCAATGCCCACTGCAATTTCTAGGCCTTCCAGCATGACTCTAGATACTGTCCATTGAAAGCTGGCCATTAAATCCCATTGGAGGGCCATTGCTAGAGAAGTGGTCTCTGTAGTATCTCTTCATCTCCCAATGCAACTATATGGTCAATGTTCACAGGAAGTTGACCACAGAATCACATTGGAGGGCCATTCCTGGAGAAGTGTTCTCTATAGGCATCTCTAGGTCTTCCAGTGCAACTATATGGCCAATGTTCACAGTAAGTTGTCCATAGAATCCCATTGGAGTGACATTGCTAGAGAAGTGGTCTCTGTAGGCATCTCCAGGTCTTCCAATACAACTGTATGGTCAATGTTCACAGGAAGTTGGCCATAGAATCCCATTGGAGGACCACTGCTGCAGAAGTATTCTCTACAGGCATCTCTAGGTCTTCCAGCGCAGTGGTATGGTCAGCATTCACAGGTAGTCAGCCATAGATTCACACTGGGGGACCATTGTTAGAGGTGTTTTTTGTAGACATCTCTAGGGCTTCCAGCATGACTATAGTCAATGGCATTAGAGAACCATTGCTGAAGAAGTGGTCCTTGTAAGCATTTCTAGAACTTCCAGTGTGACTCTTTGGCCAACAACCATTGAAAGTTGGGCACAGAATTGCATTGGAGGATAATTTCTAGAGAGTTGTTCTCTGTAGGCATCTCTAGTCTTCCAGCACAATTCAATGGTCAACATTCATTAGAAGTTGTCCATAGAACTGCATTGGAGGACCATTTGCTAGAAGTATTATTGTAGACATCCCTTGGTCTTCCAGTATGACTATGGCCAACATCTCTGTAGGCGTATCTACATCTTCCAGCACAATTCCATGGCCAACATCCATTGGAAGTTGGCTATAGAATTACATTAGAGGACCATTGCTAGAGAGTTGTTTTTTGTAGGCGTCTCTTGGTCTTCCAGCATAATTCCATGGTCAACATCCAAATCGATAGACCGTGGAATCACATTGGTGGGCCTACAGATTACCAGACAGTTATTCTCTGTAGGCATCTCTAGGTCTTCCAGCATGATTCTATAGCCAAATTCTACTAGATGTTGGCAATAGAATTGTATTGGAGGACCATTTGCTAGAAGTATTCTTGTAGACATCTCTTGGTCTTCTGGCATGACTATGGCCAACGTCTACTGTAGGCATCTCTAGGTTGTCCAGCACGATTCCATGGTCAACATCCTCTGGAAGTTGGATGTTGACCATAGAAATGCACTGGATGACCTACAGATTACTGGAGAGTTGTTCTTTGTAGACATCTCTATTGACAGAAGTTGACCGAAGAGTCATACTGGAGGACCTAGATTCCTGAAAAGGACATTTGTAATCAAACTTATGAATTTCTCCTTTCTGTGGGAACAACAGGTTTAATTCACAGAAGAGCAGGGCTATATCACTTTTGTTCCCGCTCCGACCCTCCCAGAATTGCATGCAATAGCTCAAGGGATGCAATCCTAGCTCCAGAAGACAACATGTTGAACTATGGAGGCCAAAGGTAGTTCATGAGACAGGCTTTCCACTCAGGTGTACCCAGGTGTTTCACCCATAAAGAGCAATACATCACTATTGAGATGTGGGCTGCCAAGCCCTTCATCCCAAAATATTGCCTCGGGGATTAATTCTGCACTATGTTAAACTACAGACTTAATTGAAAGCATAAACCAATTTAAGCCCCTCATACGCACCTAATCTGGCTAATATAACAATCCCCTGAGAAATCATGATGCAGAGATCTTCATATATATGTATTTTACCGCTCTTAGTGGCCATTCCTCCAAGGAATTGCTGCTATTCCAACAAACCCAGAGCAGAAACCAGGAAAGAGCTTCCACTGAAGTCCTACTTTGCCCTCTCCTGGCAGATCGAATGAAGTTTGATAGCTATGCGCCTCCGAGTTGTTATGCGCCTTCAATGAAATCAAAGAAGGAACCGTGTTGACAAATAATGATCAATAAATAATACATACTTCATGTTACAGGGCCTTCGAGTCATCTACCGGCTTATGGGAACCTATTACATTTCCTACTATTTTCTTAGGCAAGGAAGACACATAAAATGGTTTTGCTATTTAGTTTCCTTTTAAATATTGCACGCAACATGATGGTGGTCTCCCACCCAAGTCCTGACCAGGATGGACCCTGCTTAGCCTCCAGGATCAGCTGAGATCTAGTGCCTTGAGGGCACATTAGTGAATACCTCATATTATAGAGAGGGATTCACACACATGCTACACACACACACATGCTGTATATGTACACGCCTGTATGTACGATATACACAAATATACATATACATGGATGGTATGATTTTAATATGTAATATAATGTATTTAAATACAATCAAAGTACCCCCGACAGAGGGCCATCCAGCCTTTGTAACAACAACAACAACAATAACAACAGAAACCCATGCAGGAAAAGCACAATCAAAGCACCGAGAGATGGCCATCCAGCCTTTGTAACAACAACAAGAACAACAAGAACAGAAACCTATGCAGGAAAAATACAAAGTGCCCCCAACAGATGTCCATGCAGCCTTTGTTGTAACAACAACAACAACAATAACAACAACAACAAAAAGCTATGCAGGAAATACACAACCAAAGCACCCCCAGCAGATAGCCATCCAGCCATTGTAACAACAACAACAACAACAACAACAACAACAACAACAACAGAAACCCATGCAGGAAAAGCACAATCAGAGAACCTCCAATAGATGGCCATCCAGCCTTTGTAACAATAATAACATCAACAACAACAGAAACCCATGCAGGAAAAGCATAATCAAAGCATCCCCAACAGATGGCCATCAGGCCTTTGTAACAACTACTACTACTACTCTGGCACAAGCCAGTCAAGGGGGTACCGGTGGGGATTAGCACACTGGGTGCAGTGCCTAAAGACCTTGGCCTGCACTTAAAAACAATTGGTGCTGACAAAATCCCCACCAGTCAACTGCAAAAGGCCACCCTACTCGGATCTGCACACATTATTCGCCAATACATCACACAGTCCTAGACACTTGGGAAGGATCCGACGTATTATCCAATACAAAAGCCAGCAGAGTGATCTTGTTTGCTGTATACTCATCTTGTTGTGTATCAAATAATGATAATAAAAATAAAAATAACAACAAAAACCCATGCAGGAAAAATATAATCAAAGCACCCCCAATAGTTGGCCATCCAGCATTAAAGAGTGGTGTTTTGGTGATGCACAGAGGCCACTGGACTTCCATGCACTTTTGCAATAAAATCAAACAGATACTGCAAGGAAATCTGATTTAGTGATTCCTTTCTCTCCATAATCATATTATATTTTAAAGCAAGGGTGCTGAAAGAGCAACAAACGACAATGAATGGAAAGACAGGGAAGCAACACCAAGGCTTGCTTGGATGCCCTAGTGCCACGCTCTGAGCCAACGCAACACCTTTGGGCTCGACTCCAGGCATTACCTGTCTCCAAGAGACAGTTTCCCTGGGAAACCAGTCCTCGTCTTGCTCGTCTGTTGGGGGGTTGCCATATCAACTAGGCTTGGAAAGGAGTTAAAGTATAGCTGCTCCTTCAATCTGGCCGTAGACCTGCTTCTCTGTTGCGGCTGGAAACGTTCTTGAGGTCACCTGCAAACATGAATGTCATCCTCTCCAGGTGAGGAGGAAAAAAATCAAGGTGGTGGGGAAGAAAAAGCCCAATGTTCACATCTTCCAGCTGCCTTTGCACTTATGATTTAATTGGGATTTTTTAGTCTCCCATCCAAGTCCTAAGCAGGGCCAACCCTGCTTAGCATCCAAGATTGGTCAGGATTGGGTACCTTGATTTGGAGTATTTAGACACCCCTCTTTCATAGGGTCACCCTAAGTCAATAGCAAAATAAATACTTTGAATACACCATTAATGACATCTTGTGTACCTTGTAAATGCCTTCCTTCGTTTACAATACATCCTCCAGCAACCAGTATTCATTTATTCATCTCCCACACCTTTATTTAGACTCTGTATTTGGGCCTCTCACTTTCATACGGTTGCCCGAAGTGGATAGCAAAATGAATACTTTGAATACGCCATTAATGACATCTTGTGTGCCTTGTAAACGCTTTCCTTCCTTCTCCAGCAACCAGTATTCATTGGTTGGTCTCCCATCCAAGACATAACCAGGGCTCAACCTGCTTAGCTTCCACAGGCAGACACGATCTGGTGCTCTTTGAAGGGATATACATGAATGCAAACTCATAGTGCAGTGACACGTTTTGGTGTCTAATACCAAATAAGTCTTGGGAATGTCACCTGGGTCTTTAGAATTTTTTTTATAAAAATATATATATTTATATAAATAAAAATGTAATGTTCGTTTGTGGGATTAGCATAACTCAAAAGGATGAGGATGCTTGCCATAGATGCAGGCGAAACGTCAGGAGAAAAATTGCCTCCAGAACATGGCCATATAGCCCGGAAAAACCTACAACAACCCAACACTAGAAGGGTTTGGTGGGCATTGACTTTGAGTGTGGGAGTTATAGTTCACCTCCATGCAGAGAGCACTATGAACTCAAAAGAATGATGGATCTGGACCAAACTTGGTATGAATATTCCATATGCCCAAATATGAACACAGATGGAGTTTGGGGGAAATGATGGATCTGGACCAAAGTCTACAAGAATACTCAATATGGCCAAATGTGAACATTGGTGGAGTTTGGGGAAAATAGAATCTTGACATTTGGGAGTTGTAGTTACTGGGATTTATAGTTCATCTATAGTCAAAGAGCATTCTGAACCCCACCAATGATAGAATTGGGCCAAACCTCCCACACAGAACCCCCATGTGGGCCACAGCAACGCGTGGCAGGGCACGGCTAGTCTATATAAATAAAGATGTAATGTTCAATGTATTGTCGAAGGCTTTCATGGCTGGAATCACTAGGTTCTTGTGGGTTTTTTCGGGCTATAGAGCCATGTTCTAGAGGCATTTCTCCTGACGTTTCGCCTGCATCTATGGCAAGCATCCTCAGAGGTTGAGAAGGACCTTCTCAACCTCTGAGGATGCTTGCCATAGATGCAGGCGAAACGTCAGGAGAAATGCCTCTAGAACATGGCTCTATAGCCCGAAAAAACCCACAAGAACCTGATGTAATGTTCGTTTGTGGGATTAACATAACTCAAAAACCATTGGATGCATTGACACCAAATTTGGACACAATACACCTATCAGGCCAATGAGTGACCATCATTCATAAAACACTGAAAAACACAGCAGAAGGGACTTAAAAAACAAAAAATACATTACAACGCATGCACAAAACCACACACACACACATATATATATACGCACGCAAACACACATATACAAAAATATATACACACACAAAGCACATAAACATAGACTGGGCCACAGCAACGCATGGCAGGGGACGGCTAGTAGTACATATAATAGTAGTAAATTATACTTTAGGTGAAATTATATATTTAAATTATATATTACTTTTATGGTTAGTCGCTTTGGGTCTCTATTTAAGAGAAAGTGAGATAGATAATAATAATAATAATAATAATAATAATAATAATAATAATAATAACAACAACAACTGAACAATCAAAATGAATGCCAGATAATAGCAAAGTAATACACAGAAATGTCAGACACGATGCCAAGTAAATCCTCTCTTGGAAGAACAACCTAGAAATCAGTAACATGTTTTTTTTTTTTGCTTTCATCATCTCTTATAGCAAGAAACTCAAGAAACTCAAAGGCAAATAGATGTGTGAGTCTGTTTGATATCACCAACTGGGAGAGAATGGAGGGATGTGATTATTTTGAAATACATATGACACTGTTTATTCCTGTTGCAGAGATACGCAAGTGAAGATCATGGAGAAGACCGTCTCCAACGCGGAGCAATACTTTGGCAAGTTCTGCACCCTGATGGCCGCTTACACCCGCAAGACGGCCAAGCTTCGGGACAAGGCGGACCTGCTGGTCAAGCAGCTCATTGACTTCGCCAACACCGAAAACCCTGAGTTGAGGACAACCACCAAGGCCTTTGCAGAAGACCTGGCCAAAGTGCAGGACTACCGGCAAGCAGAGGTAAATGGCACGGCAGGTTCTCACACACTTTAAAGGCCACAAAAATATATTTACCATAGAATGCCTTGAAAGATTTCTCAATGAACTTGCAATGCTGAACATGTGCATGTTATTATGCTGTTCTTCTTTAGGTGGAGAGACTGGAGATGAAGGTTGTGGAACCACTGAAAGTCTATGGAGTGCTCATCAAGCAAACCAAGGTAGGATGCAATTACACTCATTTCAGAGCCAACCTCAAGCAAAGCTCTTAGTGGAATTCCTCGTCAAATTAAGGTATTACTTGGTTTGTAACTATGCAGGAGCTAGTTCATATATGTAATATTTTAGGGCACCATGTCATCATTGATGTAGGTAGCATTTTAATCATTTACATAGTATTTTAATGGTGTATTTCGTGTTGTCTTTTATAATCCGGTTTCTATGTATTTATTTGTTTGTCCTATATGTGAAAGACCTAAGCTTGGTCAGTCTAAACACTGAATAAACATGAACCATGATTGGGTTGTTGTAGGTTTTTTGGGCTGTATGGCCATGTTCTAGAAGCATTCTCTCCTGACGTTTCGCCTGCATCTGTGGCAAGCATCTTCAGAGGTTGTGAGGTTTGTTGGAAACCTCACAACCTCTGAGGATGCTTGCGACATGCGCAGGCAAAACATCAGGAGAGAATGCTTCTAGAACATGGCCATACAGCCCAAAAACCCCACAACAACCCAGTATTTATTTGTTGTGTCAGGGCAACCAGTCAATTATATTACATTTCTAACAGAAAAGCAAACAAACAGACAAAATACAAAATGTGTGAGTTTGGTAGTTGATTAAATGTCCTTTGACCAGTATCTGGCCACTTGGAGTGCTTCTGGTGTTGCTGCAAGAAGGTCCTCCATTGTGCATGTGGCAGGGCTCAGGGTGCATTGCAGCAGGTGGTCAGTGGTTTGCTCTTCTCCACACTCGCATGTCGTGGATTCCACTTTGTAGCCCCATTTCTTGAAGATTGGCTCTGCATCTCGTGGTGCCAGAACACAGTCTGTTCAGCGCCTTCCAAGTCGCCCAGTCCTCTGTGTGCCCAGGGGGAGTCTCTCATTTGGTATCAGCCATTGGTTGAGGTTCTGGGTTTGAGCCTGCCACTTTTGGACTCTCACTTGCTGAGGTGTTCCAGCGAGTGTCTCTGTAGATCTTAGAAAACTATTTCTAGATTTAAGTTGTTGACATGCTGGCTGATACCCAAACAGGGGTATAAAACAACCCAGTGATTGCAGACATGAAAGCCTACGACAATGAACCATGATGATGAATATTTCCTATAAAGGCAGAATGGCCAAGGAATTGAAGCACAACAGGTTTTTCAACTTGGAGGCACAATAAAAACAACAACAGCAACAACAACAAATTCCAGAATATGAATACTGTGCATTACATGCAGCAGCAAATACCTTTTTTTTTTGTTACAGGGTTTTGAAAAAGGAAGTGCACATTAGATTCAATGGCGCATGAGACTCAAGTAAATACGGATAAGGATAGCAACAGATACTTTATTTTGGTTTCAGGGTTTTGCAGATTGGGGTGCACATTCGATTTGATTGTGCATGAGACCCAAGTCAATATAGTCTAAGGACAGCAGCAAATACTTTATTTTGCTTTCAGGGTTTTGCAAATTGGGGTGCGCATTAGATATGATAGCACATGAGACTCAAGTAAATACAGTATAAGGACAGCAGCAAATACTTTTTTTTGGTTTGAGGGTTTTGCAAATTGAAGTGTGCATTATTTATTTATTTGAGATATTTATAGCCCGCCTTTCTCAGCCATACGGAAACCCAAGGCAGGTTACAGATTGGCACAACTCCATGTCAGGCATTCATAAAAGTGCTATTAAAACAATCAACATTACAATATAAAACATAAATAAAAACCGTTAAAGCATATAATCATCGGTGTCATCTTGTTAAAAACGTTATCCAGTAACATCGTTTGGCCATTCCATGTTCATCATTCATAGTTCCGTGTTATCTATTCCGCTGCATTCTCAAAAGCTTGCTCAAAGAGCCAGGTATTTACTTTTTTTGGAAAGTCAGGAGGGAGGGGGGCGATCTAATATCCTTGGGGAGGGAGTTCCATAGCCAGGGGGCCACCACTGAGAGGGCCCTGTCTTTCGTCTCTGCCAATCACACTTGCGAGGCAGGCGGGATCAAGAGCATGGCCTCTCCAGACGATCTTAAGCTCCTAGATGGTTCATAGAAGGAGATACATTCAGACAGGTAAGCTGGGCCGGAATCGTTTAGATTCAATGGCGCATGAGACTCAAATAAATAAGGTATAAGAACAGCAGCAAATACTCCCTTTTTTTGGTTTCAGGGTTTTGCAAATTGAGGTGCGCATTAGATTCAATGGCGCATGAGACTCAAGTCAATACGGTCTAAGGACAGCAGCAAATACTTTTCTTGGTTTCAGGGTTTTGCAAATTGGAGTGTGCATTAGATTTGATGGTGCATGAGATTCAAGTAAATACGGCATAAGGACAGCAGCAAATACCTTTTTTTTTTGTTTCAGGACTTTGGAAACAGAGGTGCGCATTAGATTCAAAGGTGCATGAAACTTTACTTAAGACAGTATTATTATTATTACTATTATTACCTTTATGTATACCCCGCTAACATCTCCCGAAGAACTCGGTGCGGCTTACAAAGGCCAAGGCCCTCAATAAAACAGCAGCATAACAAATACAACAATAAAACTCATAAAGCAAAACAATCAAGATTAAAGCAATAACAATAAACATTAGAACAATAACACCACGACGCATTTAAAACTAAGGTCGGGCAAAGTGTAATGAATAAAATTTAAAAAGTGCTGGACATGACAGGTGAAATGTATAGGTTTTTAGAGGTAGGTGCGGTGTGCAGACAATCTTAAATCTCTAATAAAGTGCATTTGGGACATGATGCTGGGAGTTTCCTATTCTGGAAAGGCACACTGGAACAGCCACGTCTTCAAGCTCTTCCTAAAGACTGCCAACATTGGGGCTTGTCTGATGTCCTTGGGGGGAGAGTTCCAGAGTCGAGGGGCCACCACAGAGAAGGCCCTGTCCCTCGTCCCCACCAAACGCGCTTGCGACGCAGGTGGGATCGTGAGCAGGGCCTCTCCAGATCGTGTGGGTTCGTATACGGAGATGCAGTCACGCAGGTAGGCGGGTCCCAAACCGTTTAAGGCTTTGTAGGTAAGCACTTGCACCTTGAATTGGGACCGAAAAATGAACGGCAGCCAATGGAGCTCCTTGAACAGGAGGGCTGACCTCTCTCTGTAAGGAGCACCAGTTAACAACCTGGCCGCCGCCCGTCGGACCAGTTGGAATTTAGTTGTCCTTTGGTCTCCTGGCAGCAAATATTTTCAGGCCAAATCGGCCACTGTCTATGGAGGGTGACGCCATAAGTGCCCACAGTGATGTCCCATGGCATTTGCCAGCCTTCGTGCCCAGCTTGATCTATTTTGATCCCTTTTGTCCCCTTCTATAGGCTGAGATCAAGAAGTTCAACCGCGCTCGGAACAATGAAATCAAGCAGCTGGAGAAGCTGGAGAAGATCCGGCAGAAATCTCCATCTGACCGGCACATGATCGTATCCTTGCCAAGGCTCTCATGCCGCAACCTTTCCCTCTTTTGCCTGCAAATGGGCTGCTGGCTCCCCAAAGTCGTGGAAAGGCTTTTTCCGAAGGCTTTCCAAAGGCTGCCAGCAACAGGAAGGCAAAGTTACAAGCTTCCTCTGAGGGAGGTTTGGGTTACAGTGAGGTTTCCTTCTGAGCGAAAGGGGAAACCCAATGAAAGCAATTGGAAACAGACCGTTGTAGAGGAAAAAGCCCGTCTCCTCGAATAAGGGAAAAGCCAAATAGATGGTTCTCCGGAGAGCGAGTGGGGCCCAGATGAATGCAATGAAAACAGTATAAGCAGCGAGCATGGCTTTATAACACTGAGATCTATCCAATATCTCAACATACTTATAAGGCATCGTATTCACTTGGCTATCAACAAGCCTTAGCTTTCCTTTTTATCATCCGGGATTACGAAGGAAGGCTTCCAAGGCCCCTTCTACATGATGATGATGATGATTATTAATGTTTATTTATATCCCACTAAAGCCATTGCAATTCTGAAGCTTCTTTGGAAGCTTTTAAACAGAGGCTGGATGGCCATCTGTCAGGGGTGCTTTGAATGTGATTTTCCTGCTTCTTGGCAGGGGGTTGGACTGGATGGCCCATGAGGTCTCTTCCAACTCTATGATTCTAGTGTTTTTTAACTGGGAATTTTTCATACTGTTTAATGTTTGCATGTTTTTTTTAAAAAAAATGTTTATATTTGATCCTGTTTTAATGTTTGCATGTTTGTATATTTTGGATTATATGCTAACACTTTTTATGTTAAGCTGCTTTGAGTCTCCTTTGGGAGAGATAAAATGGGGTATAAATAAATATTATAATAATAGTAATAGTAAAAAGTTATAAATAAGGAAGAAGGCATAGAATATGAGAGGCTGCAGCAGTTTGCTTTTGCCCAAGCCATTTGGGAAGGACAAGATTCTGAGTTAATGTCCAGATCTGTAGCTTTCTGGTGAAGAAATTACCTCACAAAGAAAGTTGGAAGGCTTTAATTCAAAAGCATGCATTACAGAACGCAATAAAATTCCAACTGACAATTTATTTCTCACGCCTCACCCTGACCCCTCCGCTGCATTGCTTCCATTTACATGGCAACCCCCTCCCAGCTTTCAAATATACACAGGGCAGGTCTAAGGCATGGCCTAATTTCCTGGCTTCACACAAAACCAGAGCATAAGGTCATGATAGTTAATGCAATACTAATTACTTTTGCACTTTGAACTCAAGTTTGCAGTGAGTTAAACCACTGAGCTGCTGAACTTGTTGACAGAAAGGTTGGCGGTTCGGATCTGGGGAGCAGGGTGAGCTCCCACTATTAGCCCCAGCTTCTGCCAACCTAGCAATTCAAAAACATGCAAATATGAGTAGATCAATAAGTACAACTCCAGTGGGAAAGTTACGGCGCTCCATGAAGTCATGCCAATGGCAACATGACCTTGGAGGCGTCTACGGACAACGCCGGCTCTTAGGCTCAGAAATGGAGATGAACACCAACTCCCAGAGCCAGACACGACTGGACTTAATCCACTGGACGAATTGATACCAAATTTGGAAACAAGACACCTAACAACCCAATGTATGTCCTTCACTCAAAAAAATTGATTTTGTCATTTGGGAGTTGGTTGCTGGGATTTATAGTTCACCTACAATCAAAGAACATTCTGAACCCCACCAATGATGAAATTGAACCAAACTTGGCACACAGTTCTCCCATGACCAACAGAAAATACTGGAAGCGTTTGGTGGGCAGTGTCCTTTGGTTTTGGAGTTGTAGTTCGCCTACATCCAGAAATCACTGGACTAAAACAATGATGGATCTAGACCAAACTCTACATGAATACTCAATATGCTCAAATGTGAACACTGGTGGAGTTTGGGGAAAATAGAATCTTGACATTTGGGAGTTGTAGTTACTGGGATTTACAGTTCACCTTAAATCACAGAGCATTCTGAACCCCACCAACGACAGAATTGGCCTGAACTTCCCACACAGAACCCCCATGTGGGCTACAACAACGCGTGGCAGGGGATGGCACATATATATATATATATATATATATATATATATATATATATATATGGAATTAAAGCTTGCTAACTGCAACATTCACACTTGCTTTAAGCAGGCAAGGGATCTTTCTCGCACCCTGGACATTATTCCACAGCCATACACACACACACACAGGTATATATACACTTCACTTGCTTTATTGCCAACATGACACTTATAACCCAGGAACAACCATTGTGTTACACAGCGTAATGTTTCCAGCATGCAATCAATCACCTTGCCTACAGGAAATATCATGTCCCATTCTTAAGGCTTCTGGTTTTTTTTTTTTTCCAGTGCAAGAGCAAATAATCCAATCTGCTAAAGTTAAACTTGCAAATGAATACTTCAAAGTTCCTTTTGCTCCCATTGCAAATTTTATTTATCTCTTGATGGACCTGACTGCCCTCTAGCGTCAAACTGGAGTATAGCTGTCTTTTGCCACAAATCCCTAATCTTCTATCTTCTTTATATAAATAAAAATGTAATGTTCATTTGTGGGATTAACATAACTCAAAAACCACTGGGCAAATTGACACAAAATTTGGACACAACACACTTATCAGGCCAATGAGTGACCATCACTCATAAAAATATTGAAAAACACAGCAGAAGAGACTTAAAAAGCCCAAAAAGTAAAGAACGTATCTGTAAAACCACATATAGAATCAAAGAGTTGGAAGAGACCTCATGGGCCATCGAGTCCAACCTCCTGCACAAGAAGCAGGAATATTACATTCAAATCACCCCTGACAGATGGCTGTCCAGCCTCTGTTTAAAAGCTTCCAAAGAAGGAGCCTCCACCACACTCCAGGGCAGAGAGTTCCACTGCTGAACAGCTCTCACAGTCAGGAAGTTCTTCCTCATGTTCAGATGGAATCTCCTTTCTTGCAGTTTGAAGCCATTGTTCCGCGTCCTAGTCTCCAGGGAAGCAGAAAACAAGCTTGCTCCCTCCTCCCTATGACTTCCTCTCACATATTTATACATGGTTACCATATCTCCTCTCAGCCTTCTCTTCTTCAGGCTAAACATGCCCAGCTCTTAAGCCGCTCCTCATAGGGCTTGTTCTCCAGACCCTTGATCATTTTAGTCGCCCTCCTCTGGACACATTCCAGCTTGTCAATATCTCTCTTGATTGTGGTGCCCAGAATTGGACACAATATTCCAGGTGTGGTCTAACCAAGGCAGAATAGAGGGGTAGCATTACTTCCCTAGATCTAGACACTGCTCCTATTGATGCAGGCCAAAATCCCATTGGCTTTTTTTGCCGCCACATCACATTTTTGGCTCATGTTTAACTTGTTGTCCACGAGTATATATATGTGTGTTTTGTGTGTGTATTATGCATATATACACACATATATGCATAATACACACACAAAACACATATACACAGACTGGGCCACAGCAACGAGTGGCAAGATATTAGTCTACAAAAGGCTTTGCTAGCCTGCTTGGGACTGAGAGAGAAGGGATGGGAATCTGAATTTCCATTCTTGGTGCAGAAGATTTTGGCTTTGCATTGCATGACCTTTAACTTATCTTCTTTCCATTTGATTAATTCCCTTGACTCTTGGCTTCAGTCACAGGTAAGAGGTTGTACTCTCCTAAAATAAGATGGCAATTAGACATTAAAGGATGCAGCAAAACTGCCCCTGCCACTCTGGAAAAGATGACCGACGGGTAAGATGACCACTGTATGTATATGCAGCTGGTCCGTTAGTAATGGTTTTCCTTATGCAACTTCTTGTAATTATAGCCATGCATTCAATTTCAAAAGAGTAAGCAAATCTATCTAATGTTCAGGAAAGCACTCCAAAATGACCTGAATTATAGTGCAAGTGTGCCATAGAATTGCATAGAGAAGAGAGAGATACCGCATTTTGGTCTTCCAATGCAAGTTTATAGAAACTTCTGAGCAAAAGGATGCCATAACAGAATATGGATGGTTGCTTTGAATCTTCTTATGGAGAGAATAAACATATTAATTATTATTCTCAACATCATCATCATCATCATCATTATCATCTATATGTTTTTTCTCTTCATAAGGAGATTCAAAGCGGCCATCCAGAAACATATACATGAAAACAACAACAACAATAATACAGGTAATAAATATGGTGTTGTTATTTTCATTTATATGTTTATGTTAAAGGAAGGAAAGAAAGAAAAAAGGAAAGAAGGGAGGAAGGAAAGAAGGAAAAAAGGAAAGGAGGGTGGGAGGAAATAAGGGAGGAAGGGAGGGAGGAAAGAAGTGGAAGGAAAGAAAGGAGGAAGGAAGAAAAGAAAGGAGGAAGGAAGGAAGGAAGGAAGGAAAGGAAGGAAGGAGGAAGGAGGAAGGAAGGAAGGAAAAAAGGAAGAGGGAGGAAGGAAAGAAGAAAGGAGAGAGGAAGAAAGAAGGGAGGAAAAGGGAGGGGAGGAAAGAAGGAAAGAAGGAGAAGGAAACAAGGAAGGGAAGAAGGGAAGAAAGAAAGGAGAAGGAAGGAGGAAGGAAGGAAGGAAGGAGAAGGAAGGAAGGAAAGGAGGGAGGAGGGAGGAAGGAAGGAGGAGGGAGGAGGGGGGAAGAAGGGGAAGGAAGAAGGAAGAGAGGAGGAAGAAAGAAAGAAGGGAGGGAGGAAGGAAGGAAAGGGAGGGAGGGAGGGAGGGAGGGAGGGAGGAAAGAAAGGAAGGAAGGGAGGGAGGGGGGAAGGAAGGGAGGAAGGAAGGAAGGAAGGAGTGAAAAAGGAAGGAAGGAAGGAAGGAAGGAAGGAAGGAAGGAAAGGAAGGAGGAAAGATGAGGGAAGGAGAGAAGGAAGGAAAGAAGGGAGGGAGGAAGGAAAGAATGAAAGAAGGAAAGAGGGGAGGAAGAAAGCAAGGAAGGAAAGAAAGAAAGAAGGAAAGGGAAGAAGGGAGGGAGGAAGAAAGGAAAGAAGGAAGGAGGGAGGGAAGGAAGGAAGGAAGGAAGGGAGGGAGGGAGGGAGGGAGGAAAGAAAGGAAGAAAGGAAGAAGTGAAGAAGGAAGGGAGGAAAGAAAGATGAGAGGGAGGAAAAAAGGAAGGAAGGAGAGTTCTTTGCAATGCTAAACACTGAGCGGATGAGAGGTGCTTGAAATGATAAGCCCAAATGGCATGCAAATTGTTCCCTCTATATTTATATTTTGCTATAGTCAGCAAAGCCATAGCACACTATAATTATGCGCTGCTCAATCTGTCCAAGCTGCAAAGTATTATTCGCAGTTGTATGTCTCATGCGCAAAAGTCATGCCTGCAACCCCCTTACAAGACATTTAAAACCTTGCAACACTTTTGCAGAATCATCCAACCCTAGGCAGCCTACAATTCACTAGAGTTGGAAGGGATCTCCAAAGGGCATCTAGTCCAAGCCTTTGCTGCCATTAAGGAACAACCAAAGTCCTCCCAGCAGATGGCCATCCAGGGAGGTATAATCCTGATGAAAGTGTTCAGGGCTGTTGTAACCTTTTTTTATAACTTACAGCATTTGTGGATTGAGTTGCAGTAATTCTCACGGAAATTGATAGGTTTCTGGCTAGAGAAGAAACTAATATGGTTGATAAAGTGAGATCAAAGGGTTAAAGTTTTGCAAACTGCGAAAGGGGCCAGCCAATGAGAGGTGCATCTACATTGTGTAATTAATGCAGTTTGGCATTACTTTTAGCCACTGCGTCCTCATGTGACGGCATTGTGGGAATTGTCGTTTTGCAAGGCCTTTACGCCTCTCTCTCTGCCAAACTGCAAATCCCAGAACTCCAAAGCATTGAGTCATGGCAGCACAAATGGCGCCGAAGTGCATCCATTCTGCAGTGGAGATGCACTCAAAGTCAACACTAAGAAAAGGATCTAATGTGCATCCTAATTTTGGAGAGGTCATTGAGCCCCATAAAGGTGAGCATTAGATTGGATTAAATAGCGGAGATATCTCTTCTAGGCTGAATCCGAGGTGCACAGGGCCTCAGTTGACGCAAGCCGAAGCACGCAGCAGCTGGAAGAGACTATTGACGAGTTCCAGAAACAGAAGCTAAAAGACATCCAGGTAAAGAGAGATGTCCCATAGTTGTGCGGGTCAATGCAATCGTTGTGCGCAAACTTGGTTAGTGTAGAGCAGGCATGGGCCAACTTTGGCCCTCCAGGTGTTTTGGACTAGAACTCCCACCATTCCTAACAGCCTACCAGCCTACAGCCAACTAACCATATAACGGATATCACTATATACGCCAATTAAAATTGAACGTTGTGTATTTTCAATGTCTTATGAAGCAACACCTGTAAAAATTCTAATATAGGATGACAGAAAAATTAAGTCCTTAGTTGTCGAAGGCTTTCATGGCCAAAATCACTGGGTTGTTGTAGGTTTTTTCAGACTATATGGCCATGGTCTAGAGGCATTCTCTCCTGACGTTTTGCCTGCATCTATGGCAAGCATCCTCAGAGGTAGTAAGGTCTGTTGGAACTAGGAAAAATGGTTTATTTATCTGTGGAATGACCAGGGTGAGACAAAGGACTCTTGTCTGCTGGAGCTAGGTGTGAATGTTTCAACTGACCACCTTGATTAGCATACAATGGCCTGACTGTGCCTGGAGCAAACTTTTGTTGAGAGGTGATTAGATGTCCCTGATTGTTTCCTCTCTGTTGTTGTGCTGTTGCAATTTTCAGACAACACAGAGAAGCCATTGAAATACACAAGCATGTGGACAATTTCAACAGAAAGGAGGAAACCATGAAAATGAACAAAATCTGTCCACCAGTATTAAAAAACTCTAAAATTGCAACTATCTCTATAAACTCTAAAATTGCAAAGATCTATGCACAATGGGTTGCAGAAACAGAGTGTCGACTTCTTCCGTGATGGCTTTAGAAAACTTGTTCATCGTTGGCAGAAATGTATCCAATTGTCTGGTTGATTATGTGGAAAAGTGAGCAGTGGTAGTTAAAGAGCACATTCTAAGGATTATTTCTGCATTTGATTTATTTATTTATTTATTTATTTACTCTGCTTATATACCGCTGTTCTCAGCCCGAAGGCGACTCACAGCAGTTTACAACAAATAAGAACAGCAAGAATTCAACGCTACAATGTAAAAACAGTTAACTACCTAACACATTACAGAATTAATAAACAATTATTACAATAACCATTCACTATCATCTCATCATCAGAAAACATGATCCAAATTCGTCATCCATTGTTCCGTTCCTATGTTCATTAACCAATCACTGCACTAATTATTCGAACGCCTGCTCAAACAGCCAGGTCTTCACTTTTTTGTGGAATACCATTAGAGATGGTGCTAGTCTAATGTCCGTGGGAAGGGCGTTCCACAGCCGAAGAGCCACCACCGAGAAGGCCCTATCTCTCGTCCCCGCCAGCCGAGCTTGAGAAGCAGGCGGGATCGAGAGCAGGGCCTCCTCGGAAGATCTCAAAGTCCTGGTGGGTTCATAGGCAGAGATGCGGTCGGATACGTAGCTTGGGCCGGAACCGTTTAGGGCTTTAAAGGCCAACGCCAGCACTTTGAATTGAGCCCGGTAGCAAATCGGTAGCCAGTGGAGTTGGCGCAACAGGGGGGTTCTATGCTCCCTGCGCTCCGCTCCTGTTAGAATCATGGCCGCCGAGCATTGGACTAGTTGGAGCTTCCAAGCCATCTTCAAAGGCAACCCCACATAGAGAGCGTTGCAGTAGTCTAAACTTTATTAAAATATTCTTATCCAAACCCAAGTAATGAAGGTGGAGGCATTACTTATCATTCAACCCTCGTAGAACAAGTAAAAAGATAATAAAGAGTTGTGTTTTCATCATGCTACTGGGAGGGACGTGAATAGATGATTCAACAAAGCAACTGCAGTATGTTCTGGATAATAAACAAATACATTCGTTTTTAAAAAATCAAGTCAAGGAAGCAAAAGATAGGACTTACTTCTTGCTCGTTTTCCGCTTGTATTTCAACAGAAGATCTTCCTCGATTTTGTCACCGTCGAGATGGTATTTCATGCAAAAGCTTTGGAAGTCTATTCTAATGCTTTCCAAACCCTTGAAGGTTACGATCTGGAGAAAGATTTGCAGGTACTTTGTGCAATAACAACAAAAAAGGAGGAAAATAACAACCACCATTTTGGACTGCAAGAAAAAAAATCACCTTGCAATTTGTCTATATGTCCTAAAGGAAGAATTCTAACTATTTTCTTTTTGGATTTTCTGTGCTCCATTTCTCTCCTTTGCCGTATTCTTAGGATTTCCGAGCAAAAACCAACATTGTTTCAGGAACTTTGCCCGTTGCAAAGCCCACGAACCCATCATCCACAGTCTCTTGGTCTACAGGCCCGCAGGTATTTTGCTTTAGCAATTATTCCTGGCTTTAATTACATATAGAAGTGAACTATAGAATCATAGAGTTGGAAGAGACCTCGTAGTCCATCCCGTCCAGTTCCCTCCCAAGAAGCAGGAAAATTGCATTCAAATCACCCCCGACAGATGGCCAACCAGCCTCTGTTTAAAAGCTTCCAAAGAAGGAGCCTCCACCACACTCCGGGGCAGAGAGTTCCACTGCTGAATGGCTCTCACAGTCAGGAAGTTCTTCCTCATGTTCAGATGGAATCTCCTTTCTTGTAGTTTGAAGCCGTTGTTCCCTGTCCTAGTCTCCAGGGAAGCAGAAAACAAGCTTGCTCCCTCCTCCCTATGACTTCCTCTCACATATTTATACATGCTATCATGTCTCCTCTCAGCCTTCTCTTCTTCAGGCTAAAAATGCCCAGCTCTTTAAGCCTCTCCTCATAGGGCTTGTTCTCCAGACCCCTGATCATTTTAGTCACTCTCCTCTGGACGCATTCCAGCTTGTCAAGATCTCTCTTCATTTTTTTACTAATAATTTTTATTGATTAATCACAATTGCTACATTTGTTATACATTTGTTATTACTGTTACATTTTATACAACATACTCTCTTTAACATGTTATTTTATTGTTCTGCTTAAATATTTCCCCCCCTTTTTATTTTCACCACAGTGCTCCCCTCCACCCGTCTCAAGCCACAATTTTTACATATCATCTGTCCAAAATCTCATTTCTTCCTGTGACGGTAACTTTCCTTCCTTATTTTTTAAACCATTTACCACGAATTTTCCCCATACAGCATCAAAGTCGCTTTGTTTCTATATACCTTTTTTAACCTTTAATATACATGTCAGCTTATCATTTATTGCTAATTTCCATGCTTCCTTATACCACTCCTCTATTTGTATATTCATTTCTTTTTTTCCAATTCCTTGCTATAAGCAATCTTGCTAAATTTGTTATCGCTTCTTTATCCTCCTTTTTCAATTACTTATTATATAATGATAATAAAGCTATACTAGGACTTTTATCAATGTTAATATTCATTATATCTTCTATTTCTCTAAATACCTTCCCCCAAAAGTTATTTACATATTTACATTGCCACCACATGTGTATATATTTTCCTGGTTCTTGACACCCTCTCCAACAATTTATTGAGTTATTTTTATTCATATATGCTATTTTTACTGGTGTCAAATACCACTTCCATATTAACTTGTAATAATTTTCTTTAACCCGTATTGATAAATTTTTAAAATGTCTTTGTCCCCATAATTGTCGCCACTCTGTTTCACTTATTTTTATCCCTAAATCTTCTTCCCAAATCTCCTTAAGGGTATTCTTCAATAGGTGCATCTACACTGTAAAATTGTGCCACGAAAGCCTTCGACAACACATTATTATTATTACTATTCCCTGCCAAATAATAATAATTCTTTGCCAAAGAAGGTTGGTGCCTCCCCAAACTGTAGCTGAGTATATTGCATTGCACCAAAGCAGTCAAAGTGGCTTCAAAGTGGGTTAAAGAGACAGTGTACTAATAAAACTAAAGAGATCAGGGAAAATACACAGACCAGTTAGATATGATCTCACTAACATTCCTAGCGAATATACAGTGGAAGTGAAGAACAGATTTGAAGGACTAGATTTAGTAAACAGAGTCCCAGAAGAACTATGGACAGAAGTCGGAGACATTGTTCAGGAGGTGGCAACAAAGTACGTCCCAAAGAAAAAGAAAACCAAGAAGGCAAAATGGTTGTCTGCTGAGACACTGGAAGTAGCCCAAGAAAGGAGGAAAGCAAAAGGAAACAGGATAAGGGGAGATATGCCCAGTTAAATGCGCAATTCCAGAGGTTAGCCAGAAGAGATAAGGAACTATTTTTAAATAAGCAATGCATGGAAGGGGAAGAAGACAACAGAATAGGAAGGACAAGAGACCTCTTCCAGAAAATTAGAAACATTGGAGGTAAATTTCAGGCAAAAATTGGTATGATAAGAAACAAAGATGGCAGGGACCTAACAGAAGCTGAAGAGATCAAGAGAAGGTGGCGAGACTATACAGAAGATCTGTATAGGAAGGGTAATAATATTGAGGATAGTTTTGACGGTGTGGTGAATGAATTAGAACCAGACATCCTGAGGAGTGAGGTTGAATGGGCCTTAAGAAGCATTGCTAACAACAAGGCAGCAGGAGACGACGGGATCCCAGCTGAACTGTTTAAAATCTTAAAAGATGATGCTGTCCAGGTGATGCATGCCATATGCCAGCAAATATGGAAAACACAAGAATGGCCATCAGACTGGAAAAAATCAACTTATATCCCCATACCAAAAAAGGGAAATGCGAAAGACTGCTCAAACTTCCGTAGTGGCCCTTATTTCTCATGCCAGTAAGGTAATGCTCAAGATCCTGCAAGGAAGACTCCAGCAATACATGGAGCGAGAGTTGCCAGATGTTCAAGCTGGGTTTAGAAAAGGCAGAGGAACGAGAGACCAAATTGCCAATATCCGCTGGATAATGGAGAAAGGCAGGGAGTTTCAGAAAAACATCTACTTCTGCTTCATTGACTATTCTAAAGCCTTTGACTGTGTGGATCATAATAAATTGTGGCAAGTTCTTAGTGGGATGGGCATCCCAAGCCACCTTGTCTCTCTCCTGAGGAATCTGTACAAGGACCAAGTAGCAACAGTAAGAACTGACCACGGAACAACAGACTGGTTTAAGATTGGGAAAGGCGTACGGCAAGGCTGCATCCTCTCACCCAACCTTTTTAACTTGTATGCAGAACACATCATGCGATGTGCGGGGCTGGATGAATGCAAAGCTGGGGTGAAAATTGCTGGAAGAAACATTAATAACCTCAGATATGCAGATGACACCACTCTGATGGCCGAAAGCGAGGAGGAGCTGAGGAGCCTTCTAATCAAGGTGAAAGAAGAAAGTGCAAAAGCTGGGTTGCAGAACGTCAAAAAAACCAAGATTATGGCAACAAGAATGATTGACAACTGGGAAATAGAGGGAGAACCGTAGAGGCCGTGACAGACTTTGTATTTCTAGGTGCAAAGATTACTGCAGATGCAGACTGTAGCCAGGAAATCAGAAGACGCTTACTTCTTGGGAGGAGAGCAATGTCCAATCTCGATAAAATAGTGAAGAGTAGAGACATCAGACTGGCAACAAAGATCCGCCTAGTCAAAGCCATGGTATTCCCTGTAGTAACCTACGGATGTGAGAGCTGGACCTTAGGGAAGGCTGGGCGAAGGAAGATAGATGCTTTTGAACTGTGGTGTTGGAGGAAAGTTCTGAGAGTGCCTTGGACTGCGAGAAGATCCAACCAGTCCATCCTCCAGGAAATAAAGCCCGACTGCTCACTGGAGGGAAGGATACTAGAGACAAAGTTGAAGTACTTTGGCCACATCATGAGGAGACAGGAAAGCTTAGAGAAGACAATTATGCTGGGGAAAGTGGAAGGCAAAAGGAAGAGGGGCCGACCAAGGGCAAGATGGATGGATGGCATCCTTGAAGTGACTGGACTGACCTTGAAGGAGCTGGGGGTGTGACGGCCGACAGGGAGCTCTGGCGTGGGCTGGTCCATGAGGTCACGAAGAGTCGGAGACGACTGAACGAATGAACAAAGCTGCACTTGCTGGTCTCTCTGGAAAAGAGAGAAAAACTGTTTGTTTTCCAGATGTAATGACTCATGAAAAGCAAAAGCAGGACTGTGATAAAAAGCAGCCAAGCCAGGCAGGTCCCTGTTTGGCACTGGTTCCAAACCTGTGCATTTCAGGTGGGAATTCTGTTTTATGCAACCATCTCAACCATCCAGCTAAATGTTGCCTGCCTTCCTGAGGAGAATCAGGCCTTGCAATGGCCACAGACCTGTGGGAACCTGGCCAGGTGTGGCCACGCCCCCTTTGCACACCTGCAGGCCTTCCCACCAGGAACAGCAGGTCTTAAAGGGACAGGAACCCCTTTTCAGGCTCTGCTCTAACAAACCCAACTTAAAGAAAGCCATTTCCTACAAACATTATGCGTGCGTGTATGTATGTATGTGTGTTTGTGTGTGTATACACACACAAACACACACACACACATTCATACTTACGGCTTATATTTATATATAATCTTAGAATCATAGAATCAAAGAGTTGGAAGAGACCTCATGGCCATCCAGTCCAACCCCATTCTGCCAAGAAGCAGGAATATTGCATTCAAATCACCCCTGACAGATGGCCATCCAGCCTCTGTTTAAAAGCTTCCAAAGAAGGAGCCTCCACCACACTCCGGGGCAGAGAGTTCCACTGCTGAACGGCTCTCACAGTCAGAAAGTTCTTCCTCATGTTCAGATGGAATCTCCTTTCTTGTAGTTTGAAGCCATTGTTCCGCATCCTAGTCTCCAAGGAAGCAGAAAACAAGCTTGCTCCCTCCTCCCTGTGGCTTCCTCTCACATATTTATACATGGCTATCATATCCCCTCTCAGCCTTCTCTTCTTCAGGCTAAACATGCCCAGCTCCTTAAGCCGCTCCTCATAGGGCTAGTTCTCCATACCCTTGATCGTTTTAGTCGCCCTCCTCTGGACACATTCCAGCTTGTCAATATCTCTCTTGAATTGTGGTGCCCAGAATTGGACACAATATTCCAGGTGTGGTCTAACCAAAGCGGAATAGAGGGGTAGCATTACCTCCCTAGATCTAAAATGTAATTTTGCTTTTGTGTTCATCTACACTGTACAATTGATGCAGTTTAGTCCCATTAATTATTATTATTTGAAACACAACAAAATGAGTCCACAGCAGACAAGATCACTTTGCTGGCTATTATATTGAATCACACGTCAGACACTTCCCAAGTGTCTAGGACTGTGTGATGTATCGGCAAATAATGCGTGCAGATCCCAGTAAGGTGGCTTTCTGCAGCTGGCAGATGGTAATTTTGTCAGCACTGATTGTGTTTAAGTGCGGGCCAAGGTCTTTAAGCACTGCACCCAGTGTGTCAATCACCACTGGAACCACCTTGACTGGCTTGTGCCAGAGTCTTTGCAGTTCAATCTTTAAATCCTCATATCGTGTCAACTTTTCCAGTTTCTCTTCAATCCTGCTGTCACCTGGGATATTATTATTATTATTATTAATTATTATTATTATTTATCTGCCACAGCAACATACTGTTTAATAATAATAATAATAATTATTATTATTATACTTTACAAGTGCTATGACAACATACTCTTGAATTATTATTATTATTAAAATGTATTATTATTCCATATTAATTGCCATGGCAACATTGCTGAATTATTATTGTTGTTGCTGTTATTACTAAAATGTATTATTATTATTATTATTATTATTATTATTATTATTCTACTTTAACTGGTGCAAGTTGCTGAACTTGTTGACCAAAAGGTCACAGGTTCAAATCCAGGGAGCGGGGTGAGCTCCCACTGTTAGTCCCAGCTTTTGCTAACCTAGCAGTTCGAAAACATGCAAATGTGAGTAGATCAATAGGTACTGCTATTCAGCTTAGGAACTGAGTTGAGCACCAGAGTCGGACACAATTGGACTTAATGTCAGGGGGAAACCTTTACCTACTTTAACTGCCATGGGAACTTGCTGTTTAATTATTATTATTATTATTATTATTATTATTATTATTATTATTCTACTTTAACTATCATGGCAACATTCTCTTAAATTATTATTAATAATAAAATGTATTATTATTATTCCACTTTTAACTGCCATAGCTGCTGCTATTATTATTCTTATTTTATATTAACTTTTTTATTAGAGTTTTAGACATATCATAAGGTAAAAGTAAAGGGGAGAGAGAAGCAAAAAGAAAAAAAAGTAAAAAAAGGTAAAAATAGAAATAAAATAAAACAAAAATATATAGAAAAACAAAAAGGTGTTTCTATAAAAAATAAAAAATATAGTTGTTTCTGCTATTATTAAAATATTAATATTAATATTAAATATGTATTTTTATTATTATTTACTATTTTATCATTATTATTATTGTACTTTAACTTTGATTTCAAGAATCCAGCTGAGAATTCATAATGCCCTTTTGCATTTGGTTGCCATGGCAATTAAAGTGCTATAACGGTATCATGTGATAGGATCCTTGTGATGGGCGGAGATTTGATTCCTATAGGATACAAATGCAATCCCAATAATTTTGGCGTAAATGCAGACAAAGCAGACCCAAGTCCAGATGTATTGAATAAATGGATGTTTTCTATCTTAGAGTGTGCAAAGTATGCTCCAGAAGCTGACATTGGTGGAAAGCGAGGAGGAAGAGGAGGAAGAAGAGGAGTCCGATGGGAGCCACACACAAAACTTAACCCACATCAAATACCCTCCCATTCGGCAAGTGACCAGCAGGAACCTGTGACGGCCAGTGCCTTGAAGTGTGCAATGAAACAGAAATCCCAATCTAAGTTTGCAATTGTGCTCTTTCTGAGGGTGCATGTCTCTTTTTCCAAATGCCGCGTGCTTCCGCGGAATTGCCCCATTACCTCCATGATCCAGGATTTTGCATCCTGGCTCTTCTTAGAAATATATCCTGACTCTACTTAGCAGGGATATTATTATTGCTACAGAGCATGTATTTCGTTTTCCTTACCTGGTCCCAAATCAATTTGTGAAAACACCTTGAAAAATCCAGCTGATGTAGAATGAATGCAACTTAATTTGAATCCAAATTACATCATAATAAAAATGTTCTGTCTAACTCAATAATAAGTGATGATGAGACAAGATTCAGGGCTGAGAAAGAAAGGCAGAAAGGAAGGAGGGAGAAAAAGGGGGAAAATGAAAGAATAAAGGAAGGTAGCAAGGAAAAAAGGAAAATAAAAGAAGGAAGAAGGAAAGTAGGAAAAGAAAGAAGGGAGGGAGGAAGGGAAGGAAGGAAGGGCAGAAAGGAAGGAGGGAGAAAAAGGGGGGATATGAAAGGAGAAAGGAAGGTAACAAGGAAAAAAGAAAAATAAAAGGAGGAAGGAAAGTAGGAAAAGAAAGGAAGGAAGGAGGGGGGAAGGAAGGGCAGAAAGGAAGAAGGGAGAAAAAGGGGGAAATGAAAGAAGAAAGGAAGGTAACAAGGAAAAAGGGAAAATAAAAGAAGGAAGAAGGAAAGTAGGAAAAGAAAGAAAGGAGGGAGGGAGGGAAGGAAGGGCAGAAAGGAAGAAGAAAGGAAGGGGGAAGGAGGAAGGAAGGAAAAGAAGGAAGGAAGAGAAAGGAAAGGAAAGGAGGAAAAAGGAAATGGAAAGAAAAAATGAGGAAGGAAGGAAGGAAAAAGGAGGGAGGGAGGAAGGAAAGAAAGAGAAGGAAGGAAGGGAAAAATAAAAAATAAAGAAAAACAAGAAAGAAGGATGGAGAAAGGAAAAAAACAAAAATTGAGAAAGGAAAGAAAGAAGAAAAAGAAAGAAAAATGGAAGGAAAAAGAAGAAAGGGGAAAATAAAAAAGGGAAGAAGAAAAGAATGAAGAAAAGGAAAGAAGAAAGGAAAAAGAAAGGAGTGGAGAAAGAGGGAAATAAAGTAGGAAAAGAAAGAAGAAAGAAAAAGAAAGATGTGAAAGAAGGAAAAAATAAGGAAGTAAGGAAGAAGGAAAAGAAAGAAGGAAGAAGTAAGGAATGAAATAGAAAGGAGGCAGGGAAAGGAAAGAGAAGGGATGGAAGGATGGATGGAAGGAAGGAAAAGGGAGAGAGAAAAGAATAAAAAAGGAGTAGAATGAAGGAAGTAAGGAAGAAGGAAGGAAAGAAAGAAAGAAGCAAGGAATGAAAAAGGTAGAAGGAAGAAAAGTAGGAAAAGAAAGAAGGAAGGAATGAAATAGAAAGGAGGGAGGGAGGGAAAGGAAAGAGAAGGGATGGAAGGAAGGAAAAAAGAGAGAGAAAAGAAGGAAAAAAGGAGTAGAAAGAAGGAAGTAAGGAAGAAGGAAAAAAGGAAGAAGGAGGGAATGAAAAAGGTAGAAGGAAGAAAAGTAGGAAAGGAAGGGAGGGAGGGAAGGAGGGAAGGAAGGAAAAGGAAAGACAGACAGACAGACAGAAAGATTATTTTATTGAACTTCCCAAAACTTTAATAACCAGGACTCGATAACACTTTCTATACATGAGTTAAAAACCACAATATTCCACAAAGGATACCAATCACATCGTCTTGGCATAATACATCAGTCATCACAGAATCTCACTCAGCACATCCGAATATATCTTATACGGTTTATATATATATGTATGCATATAAAAATTCAATAGAATTCCACAGTTATATACGGAGATGATATACTGAAAGGTTTGGCTTTGCAACCGCATCCTATGGGGTGGGGTGGGGGTGGGTGGCTCTTAACAACAATAACAACAAAACTGCAGAATATTTAAGGTTAAGATATTTCTAGTGTTAAGAGGAGGATTCAAGCGTCATTTAGGAAAAAGTGGGGGGACAGAGGAAAACTCTGAAGTTGTAGATTTGCAAAATAATTCAGCAATGGGAACATAACATCTTGCAAATTAAGATACGATTGGAAGTTTCAAAGCTTGGCTCCCATACACAATAAATGCAACCCATGATCATGGAAACAATAGTCTCATTATGCAGAGGAAAGCAGGATATTAATAATTATGGTGATGATGATGATGATAACAACCACCTTAACAGGAAGTGACTATATTGCTAGTTATCTGTCCTTTGGTGCCCTCTACAGGACAGGACAGGAAATGCAGGATAAGAATGAAAGTTTGCAGGAAATTGCAATATTTGTTGGTGAGATTTTTAATTCCTTTTTAATAAGCAGATGATAGTTCTGTTCCCCTGGAATAGAATTAAAAAATATTTGGGAATTGTATGTTAACTTCTCCTATTTTTAAGAGATCTTGTTCAGTGACATAATACTACTGAAGGAATAATGATAATAATAATAATAATATCCAAAATATTGGAATATTATTATCACAATGTAGAGGGGATGGTGGGATTTCCTAAATCCTGGCTAAGAGTCACAAGGCTCAATGCCAAATTATCCAGAAACATTGAGTAATACATAAAAAGGAACAAAGCTGTACTCGACGGTTTCACGCTAAGAAGGGTCAGATTGTCGCCAAGACTGTGACAGATGGCAAGGAGTAATCTTCTCAGGCTGAGAAGCCCACGATGGCTCTGAGATCTACCAGGGAGGAGAGTCACTGCTAGGACAAGAGTTTATTTATATATACTTGAAACAAAAACACCCTCGGAATGAAAACGGCAGCAGTTGGCTTCCTTGCACACTTCACTTCCCTTGCAAATTTCACTCTGTTGCGTTCGCTTGCAAAACCAAATGCAAAGCAAAGCAAAGCAAAGGGGGATGGATCCCTGTCCTGATTTCTCCACTCAAAATGTGTCTGAAGAAAAGAGTGAGAGGAAGAAAGAAAAAGAAAAAAAGAAGACGAAGGAAGACAGGAAGGGAAGGATGAGGGATGGTGAAAGGGAAGAAAGGAAGGAAAGGAAAAGAAGGAGGGAAAGGAAGAAGGAAAAAGAAGGGGAAGGAAAACAGGAAGAGAAGGAAGGAAGAAGAAGGGTGAAAGGGAAGAAAGGAAGAAGAAAAGAAAATGGGAAAGGAAGAAAGAAAGAAAAATAAGAGGAAGGAAGACAGGAAGATAGGGGAGAGGGAGGGCCAAAGGGAAGAAAGGAAGGAGGGAAAGGAAGAAGGAAAAAGAAGAGGAAGGAAGAGAAGAAAGGAAGAGGAAGGGTGAAAGGGAAGAAAGGAAGGAAATAAAGGGGGATGAAAAAGTGTAAGGGGAAGGAAGAAGTAAAGAAAAAGGAACAAAGGGGGTAAGGAAGGGTGGAAGGAAAAAGAGGGAAAGGAAGAAACAAAATGAAGATGGGGAAGAGAAGGAAGACAGAGAGAGGAAAGGTGAAAAGAAATGGAAGGAAGGAGAATGGAAGAAGGAGAAGAAAGAAGGGAAGTGGAGGAATGGAGAGAAGGATGAATGGGAGAGGGAAGATGAAAGAAAATGGAAGGAGAAAGGAAGAAGGAGAAGAAAGGGGAATAGAGGTTGAAAAGAAAGAAAAGGAAGAAGGAAGGGAAGGGAAGAAGAAGTGAAAAAGGAAAGAAATGGTAAGATAGAGGAAAAGAAAGGGAAGGGAAGAAAACGTAAAAGGAGGATGAAAGAAAAGGAAAAAAAGAGGGAGGAAAGATAAGAAAGAGGGAAAGAAAGGATAGAGACAGAAAAAAGAAAGGAGAAAGAGGAAGGGAAAGGAAGAGAAGAAGAAAAGAGAGGGAGTGAGAGAGAAGGGGGAAAGAATGGATAAGGAAGGAAGGAAGAAAAAAGGAAGGAAGGAGAAGGAAGAAGGAATGAAGATAGGAAGGAAAGGAAGGAGGATGAAAGAAAAGGATAGGAGTGAGAGAGAGAGAGAGAAGAAAGGAAAGTGGGAAAGAAAAAAGAGGAAAGGGAAGGAGGGTGAAAGAAAAGGAAAGGAGGGAGGGAAGAAAAGAAAGAAGGAAAGAAAGGATAGAGATAAAAAAGGAAGAAAGAAAAGGAGAGAAATGAAGGGAGGGAGGGAGGGCTTTCCAAATGACTGGAAAGCCACCAGGGATGATGCTGTGTGCTTCTCCCTTTTGTACACACTCTGCTAGAAAAAGAATGACACAGACAGATACACAAAATACTCGGCAGCGAGGCTCAAGAGGGAAGGCAAACGAGGGTCCCTTCCTCTGCGAACGAAGGCCGCTCTCCCCACTGCAAGGGTCCAGCCCTGCCCATGCGCTTCGATGCAACCCTTCCATGTCCTGTCCATTCAGTCCAAAGGCCCCAAAGGGAGGGGAGGCTGTGGATGATGGGACGTGGTGTCCCGGGACGTCTTTGACGGGGAGCAGCGCAACGCGGTTGGATGGCAGTCATGCAGGTCCGTCTTTGTCCTCATCCGCGGTTCAACGCCCGTTTCAATCTTCCGGTCAGTGGCCGTATTTCAACCCCAACTGGCTGTCTCTCTCTCTCAATTTTCCCCACGATTCCATTATTCAGCAGCCATTTCTTCAATGTGGTCGCTGAGCAGCTTGAATTGCTCTGGGAATGAGAAGCACACAAAAGTAAACAGACTTATCATGCACACCCCACTTCAGAGGAAGCCATCCTGCAATTTGCTTTAAAAGTGTGCAAGGAATCGGAATTGCTGTATTTGGAAAGACTATGCAACTCTATGACATTTTGGAATTCAAACATGCAAAATCAGAATGGTTCCCTTGGAAAGACTACCCAACACTATGTTTGTTCCTTAGTTATCAATGTCATTTCCTCATCGGTTCTGTCATCAAAACATAGGAAAGTTTATTATATCATTATTGCATGATATAATAATAATATTTTATTTATTTATTTTTATTCTAACATATTACACTATGTAACACAATTTTTGTTCCTGGGTTATCAATGCCATTTCCTAATTGGTTCTATCATCAAAACATGGGAAAGTTTATTATATTATTATTGCATGATATAATTATAATAATAATAATAATAATAACAATAATTTATTATTATTATTCTAACATATTACACTATGGAACACAACTTTGTTCCTAGCTTATCAGTGCCATTTCCTAATTAATTCTATCATCAAAACACGGGAAAGTTTATTATTATTGCATTATATAATAATAATAATAATAATAATAATAATAATAATAATAAATGAGATTGGATCTTGATTTTACTTGAGACGCTAATGAGATGTTATATTGATGTTTAACAGTTTATTATGTTATTATCTTAATTGTTTTTAACTGTTTTTATGATGTTGAGCATTGAATTTTGCTATTGTTAACTGCTTTGAGTCGCCCAAGGGCTGAGAAAAGTGGTATATAAATGAAGTAAATAAATAAATTATTATTATTATTATTCTGACATATTACACTATGTAACACAATTTTTGTTCCTGGGTTATCAATGCCATTTCCTAATTGGTTCTATCATCAAAACACGGGAAAGTTTATTATATGATTATTGCATTATATTATATTATATTGTTATTATTATAACATATTACACTATGTAACACAATTTTTGCTCCAGGATTATCAATGCCATTTCCTAATTGGTTCTATCCTCAAAACACGGGGAAGGTTTATTAAACTGATAAAACTTTATTTCTGCATGAGAGAAATCCCGATATAACACATTATTATTGCATTATATTATTATAATTATATTGTGTATTATTATTATTATATATTACACTATGTAACACAATTTTTTGTTGGCTGGGTTATCAATGTCATTTCCTTTGTTTCTGCGGGAGGGACAAAAAATATGATTCATAGTGCAATACTGAATAATAATATAATATATAATTATTATAGAATACAATAATAATATAATAATATAATATAATGGGCTTTCCCCATGGTTTCACAATAAAATATATCAGGAAATGACCTTAATCATAGAATCAAAGAGTTGGAAGAGACCTCATGGGCCATCCAGTCCAACCCCCTGCCAAGAAGCAGGAATATTGCATTCAAAGCACCCCTGACAGATGGCCATCCAGCCTCTGTTTAAAAGCCTCCAAAGAAGGAGCCTCCACCACACTCCGGGGCAGAGAGTTCCACTGCTGAACGGCTCTCACAGTCAGGAAGTTCTTCCTCATGTTCAGATGGAATCTCCTTTCCTGTAGTTTGAAGCCATTGTTTTATGTCCTAGTCTCCAGGGAAGCAGCAAACAAGCTTGCTCCCTCCTCCCTGCGGCTTCCTGTCACATATTTATACATGGCTATCATATCTCCTCTCAGCCTTCTCTTCTTCAGGCCAAACATGCCCAGCTCCTTAAGCCGCTCCTCATAGGGCTTGTTCTCCAGACCCTTGATCATTTTAGTCGCCCTCCTCTGGACGCATTCCAGCTTGTCAATATCTCTCTTGAATCACCCAGGAACAAAAAACTGTGTTACATAGTGTAATATATAAAATAATAATAATAATAATAATAATATACAACAATAATATAACAACATAATATAAAAATAAATATATTAAATAAATAAATATATTAAATAATATTAAATAATAAATATTATAATATTATAAATAATAATATTAAATCATAAAATTAAATAATAAATATATTAAATAAATAAATACGACAAAACCAATCAGGAAATGACCTTTATAACCCAGGAACAAAAATCATGTTGCATAGTGTTGTCATTATTATTATTATTATTATTATTACCGGTATGTTTATTCCTATCCTACATTTTCTCTCCACAAAGGAGATTCAAAGACGCCCAGCTATCTAACTAAGCAAGCTATCTAACTAAGAAAGTAAACGGGGCCTAGCTATCTAAGTAATTAACTCACAGCAAACATCTTGCCTCTCACCATGCTCACAGGAGAAGAATACAAATGGAGGCATTTCCCTGAGAAGTGTCAGTCCAACAAGCAAAGTGATAAGAAGACAGGCAAGCCAAGAGTTATATAGTTATATGTAGTAATTAGTTATTATAATGTCTTTGTTTTCTGTATGTTGGCATTGAATTTTTGCAATTAGTATGTTGTAAACCTTTGTGAATCCCCCCAGGGGTGAGAAAAGTGGTATAAGCAGAGGCTGGATGGCCATTTGTCAGGGGTGATTTGAATGCAATATTCCTGCTTCTTGGCAGGGGGTTGGACTGGATGGCCCATGAGGTCTCTTCCAACTCTTTGATTCTATGATTCTATGATATAAACACAGTACATAAATATTAATAAATAAGAGACCAATGGGAGAAGGCCTTTTCCCTGGCAATTTGCTCATCTGCCTATCTCTGTCCTCATTGAGGACTACAGCCTTGTGCAGGATGGCTCACCTTCATCCAGGTTGCCGATCACGGCTTGCTTCTTCAGGAAGTCATTGCAAAGCTTTTTGTTCAACCCAAACGCCAGCATGTTGTGAGTGAAAGTCCTGCAGAAGAGGAAGAAAATGCAAGCATGAGAAGACGGGGAAAAAGGGGAGAAATGCCTGCTTTGGGTAGAGGTGAGTTTCTCAGGTGAGAAGGGAATAACACACCTTGTTATTAGCTCAAGACATAAAATACACAAATTAAAAAATATCCAAAATATTTTGGATTTTATTATTAATAAAATGGTAATTATCTTATTGATATTAAAATGTATGTATTAGTATAATAATATTATAATACAATAATATTATAATAACATAATAGTTTAATGCAGCAATAGTGTTTTATCTCTTTATTTTAACAATGTTATATCCTGCCTTGAGCTGCAAGAAGCAGTAATAATTTATTATTATTATTATTATTATTATTATTATTGTATTGTCAAAGGCTTTCATGGCCAGAATCACTGGGTTGTTGTAGGTTTTTTCGAGCTATATGGCCATGTTCTAGAGGCATTCTCTCCTGACGTTTCGCCTGCATCTATGGCAAGCATCCTCAGAGGTAGTGAGGATTATTATTATTATTATTATTATTATTATTATTATTATTATTGTTTTGTTGTTGTTGTTTTATCATCATCAGTTATCCCATAATAATAATAATAATAATAATAATAATAATAATAATAATAATAATATACTGTAATAATAATGTAATACAATAATAATACTATAAAACACTATAATAATAATACTATAAACCACTATAATAATAATACAATAACAATGTGATACAACAATAATACTACAACAACACTACAATAATATAATACAACAATAATAATGTAATACAGTGATAATAATAATATAATAATAAAATACAATATAATACAATAAAATAATAAGAATAAGTAAAGGTTTCCCCTGACATTAAGTATAGTCATAGAATCATTGAGTTGGAAGGGACCTTGGGGGCCACTCAGTCCAAACCCATTCTGTCAAGAAGCAGGAAAATCACATTCAAAGCACCCCCGACAGATGGCGGGGGTGCTTTGACCCCTGACTCTCATCTCCATTTCTATGCCAAAGAACTGGTGTTGTCCACAGACACCTCCAAGGTCATGTGGCCAGCATAACTACATGGAGCACTATTATTTTCCCGCAAAAGCGGTACCTATTGATCTACCCACACTTGCATGTTTTCAAACTGCTAGGTTGGCAGGAGCTGGGACTAACAGCAGAAGCTCAACCGCTCCCAGGATTTGAACTGCCGACCTTTCGGTCAGCAAGTTCAGCAACTCAGCGGTTTAACCCACTGCACCACCAGGGGGCCTATAAAATATCATAATATACTATAATATAGTATAAAATACTATTTAAAAAATATATAGTATAAAATACTATAAAACACTGTGATAATAATAATAAAACAATAACAACAATACAATAATAATAACAACAATTGTTGTTCATTCGTTCAGTCGTCTCCGACTCTTCGTGACCTCATGGACCAGCCCACGCCAGAGCTCCCTGTCGGCCGTTACCACCCCAGCTCCCTCAAGGTCAGTCCAGTCACTTCAAGGATGCCATCCATCCATCTTGCCCTTGGTCGGCCCTCTTCCTTTTGCCTTCCACTTTCCCCAGCATAATTGTCTTCTCTAGGCTTTCCTGTCTCCTCATGATGTGGCCAAAGTACTTCAACTTTGTCTCTAGTATTTCCCTCCAATGAGCAGTAGGGCTTTATTTCCTGGAGGATGGACTGGTTGGATCTTCTCGCAGTCCAAGGCACTCTCAGAACTTTCCTCCACATTTACACATAGCAATCATCTTCCTTCGCTCAGCCTTCCATAAGGTCCAGCTCTCACATCCGTAGGTTACTACAGGGAATACCATGGCTTTGACTAGGCGGATCTTTGTTGCCAGTCTGATGTCTCTACTCTTTACTATTTTATCGAGATTGGACATTGCTCTCCTCCCAAGAAGTAAGCGTCTTCTGATTTCCTGGCCACAGTCTGCATCTGCAGTAATCTTTGCACCTAGAAATACAAAGTCTGTCACGGCCTCCACGGTTTCTCCCTCTATTTTCCAGTTGTCAATAATTCTTGTTGCCATAATCTTGGTTTTTTTGACGTTTAGCTGCAACCCAATAACAACAATACAATAACAATAAAATACAGTAATAAAATACAATAACAATAAAATATAGTAAAATAAAATAACAATAAAATACAATAACAACTAAGTAACAATAAAATACAATAATAAAATACAGTAATAATGCTAAAATAAAATAAGTATAACAATGTGATACAATAATAAGACTACTACTACTACAATAATAATAATAATAATAATAATAATAATAATAATAATGTAATACAATGATAACAGTACTATGACAATAATAATAAGACGATGATGATTTGAGCCTCTGAACTTGTTGACTGAACGGTCACAGGTTCGAATCTGGGGAGCAGCATGAGTTCCTGCTGTCAGCCCCAGCTTCTGCCAACCTAGCAGTTCGAAAACATGCAAATGTGAGTAGATCAATAGGTACCGCTCTTGCGGGAAGGTAACGGTGCTCCAACCAGTCATGCTGGCCACATGACTCTGGAGGTGTCTATGGACAAAGCTGGCTCTTTGGCTTAGAAATGGGAGATGAGCACCAGAGTCGGACATGACTACACTTTAATATAAAGGGGAAATCTTTACCTTTATGATTCAACTTACCCCAACTGCCCGAAGGTGATGTTCTCATTAAAGCGGAGGCTGTCGTCCCGTTCTTCTTGGGTCATATGGCACCATTTCTCCCTGCAAACATTTCCCAACATTACTTTATTGAAATATGATATTGATAAAGGGCTTCGGATGGGTGATAATGTTTTGCCCACACTGGTTCTCCCCGCTCCCAATTGCATATTGCTTAGAAATGGGCCAAAAGGCAAGTATCTGTATCCCAAGTTTGGGACATGAGCTATGTAGGTTGCTAACTTCAGAGTAGATTTTAACGTCAGATCACAACAAAATGCTCTTTGAGTTCAACATTTCCCTGCTTCTTAAAGAACCGCCTCCTGTTTGGAGACTTTAATTGTTTTCCAAAAGAGAAGAAAGGAAAGCAATGACAACAGTACCGTATTTCCCCCAAAATAAGACCTATTTGGAAAATAAACCCTAGAATGATGCTTCTAATATAAGCCCGATCCCAAAAGGAAGACTCAGTTCACATGGATGCATTGACCAGTAGTACATATATTATAAAATAATAATAATAATAATAATAATAATAATAATAAATAAGTTTCATATGTATTGTCAAAGGCTCTCATGGCCGGAATCACTGAGTTGTTGTAGGTTTTTCGGGCTGTATGACCATGTTCCAGAAGCATTCTCTCCTGACGTTTCGCCTGTATCTATGGCAGGCATCCTCAGAGGTTGGGAGGCCTGTTGGAAACTAGGAAAATGGGGTTTATATATCTGTGGAAAGTCCAGGGTGGGAGAAAGAACTCTTGTCTGTTGGAGCTAGGCATTTGATGGTCTAGCAGTTTCAAGGTCTGGCTTCTTACTGCCTGGGGAAATCCTCTGTTGAGAGGTGATTAGCTGTCCCCGATTGTTTCTTGTCTGGAGTTCCCCTGTTTTTGAGTGTGGTTCTTTATTTGCTGTTATAATTTTAGAGGTTTTTTTTTAATACTGGTAGCCAGATTTTATTCATTTTCATGTTTTCCTCCTTTCTGTTGAAATTGTCCACATGCTTGTGAATTTCAATGGCTTCCCTGTGTAGTCTGACATGGTGGTTGTGAGAGTGCCGTTACTTTCCCACAGAAGCGGTACCTATCGATCTACCCACATTTGCACGTTTTCAAATGGCTAGGTTGGCAGGAGCTGGGCCTAACAGCAGGAGCTCACCCCACTCCCAGGATTCGAACATGTGACATTTCGGTCAGCAAGTTCAGCAGCTCAGCAGTTTAACTCACTGCGCCACTGGGGACTCCATATATTTTTTTTTTTCATTTTTTTATTGCATTTATTCAATTTAACATAAACATTAAGTAAACATACCTTTATCACTAAATTATTCCTATACTCTATAACTACTACAAATTCTTAACTAACTATAAGTCAATTCAGACTTCTCTCAATTTACAAAACAAAATAATAATAATTAGAATCTGACCAATCCTTATAATCAAGTCACTCATTCACTCTCCAAATACAATATGATAGTAACATATATGCAACATGCACATCCTAGACATGTCCCATCATTCAATCTTATTTTGTTTTGGAAACATAATGATGAGCGCTCTTTGGATATTGACCATGGTCCACTCCTGTTATTTCACAATTCCAGAATATCATTGTTTCTCTTGCTGGCTTATACCCCTTTCCCTCATTAAACACATACTCAATAAATTTTCCCCATATTTTCCAAAAATCTGTTTGTTTACATATACCCCTTTTAATTTTAATATTGCAAGTTAGCTTATCATTAATCGCTATATTCCAAATTTCCTTATACCATTCTTCTAATTGAATTTCTTTTTTTTCCTTCCAATTTTTTGCTATTGACAATTTAGCTGCTGTTATCAAATTAGAAACCAATTCCTTTTCTTCTTGTACGGGAATTATATTATCATGTATAAGTAATAAAGCTAATTTTGGTGTAATCTCAGTCTCCATTTTTATTATTGCTCTTATTTCTTTAAATATGCTTTTCCAAAATTTTTGTATAATATAACATGACCACCACATATGTAGATATGTCCCTATTTCCTGACAACCTCTCCAACACTGATTCGAATATTTTTTATCAATCTGATTTAATCTAATAGGGGTTAGATACCACCTCCATATCATTTTGTAGTAATTTTCTTTAATTCTGATAGACATATTTTTTAGTATCCTCATATTCCATATGTTTGCCCATTCTTGATTATTCATTTTTCCCCCAAGTCTGTTTCCCATACTTCCTTCAAATAATCTTGTTCCTGTTCATTCATTAATAACAGTTTATAGATCTGACTTACTGTGCCTTTTAATGTTATATTCTCTTCTTTAGTCTCCCTTTGAGTTATCATCTTTTCTATTTTTGTGTATTCCCTACCTCCATTATACTTTTTCCTTATATCACTTGACCATTTACCCAATTGTAAATACTTATACCAATCTAAGTCTCCTAATTCCTCTTTTATTCTTTCCATATTTACCATTTTCAGATCCCAGTCTTTTATTTTCATTAAACCTCTTCCATTAAGTTCTACTTCAAGTTCTTTTTTTAAATTTTCTGGGAAGTTTTCTGTCATTAAAACTGGCATGATAGGAGAAATACCTGGCATTAGGGTTTTTTTATATCTTCCCCAAATCTCTAAAATATTTTTTAGAAAGGGATTGTTTAAATTGTTATACCATTTCTTTTTACCCTTTTCTCTATTACCCCTATAAAAAATGTATTCTAATTTCAGTTCTAATTTTTTATCATCTTCTTCTAACCACTCCAGGCTCTTTTGTTTTGCTAAACTTTCCACTATATATCTAATTTGATTTGATTGATAATATAACTTGAGGTTTGGTAATCCAAGACCTCCCTCCTTCTGTGACTTATACCATAAACTTTTATTTATTCTAGCTTTTTTGTTCCCATTACAGTACAGATTTAACATGTTTTGCCAGATTTTTATTTCTTGATCTGAAATTTTTACAGGTAGCATTCTAAATAGAAAATTTAGTTTGGGTAATATCTTCATTTTAATTAATGCTATCCTACCGAACCATGATAATTTGAGCTTATTGTATTCCAGCAATTTCTTATCAATTTCCTTTCTTAATTTGGTTAGATTATTTATTTCTAAATTTTTTTAAATTTTTTTAAATTTTTTAAAGTCCCCCACTGCGCGACTGGGGACTCCATATATTATACTATTATTATATAATATATTGGACTATATCATAAGTTGTAATATATAATCTATAGTATTACAACATTATTAATATTATATATAATATACTAGCCATCCCCTGCCACGCGTTGCTGTGGCCCACATGGGGGTTCTGTGTGGGAGGTTTGGCCCAATTCTATTGTTGGTGGGGTTCAGAATGCTCTGTGATTGTAGGTGAACTATACATCCCAGCAACTACAGCTCCCAAATGTCAAGATTCTATTTTCCCCAAACTCCACCAGTGTTCACATTTGGGCATAATGAGTCTTTGTGTAGAGTTTGGTCCAGATCCATCATTGTTTGAGTCCACAGTGATCTCTGGATGTAGGTGAACTACAACTCCAAAATCAAAGGACACTGTCTACCAAACCCTTCCAGTATTTTCCGTTGGACATGGGAGAACTGTGTGCCAAGTTTGGTTCAATTCCATTGTTGGTGGAGTTCAGAATGCTCTTTGATTGTAGGTGAACTATAAATCCCAGCAACTACAACTCCCAAACGACAAAATCATTTTTGTTTTGAGCAAAGGGCATACATTGGGTTGTTAGGGTCTTGTGTCCAAATTTGGTGTCAATTCGTCCAGGGGTTTTTGAGTTCTGTTAATCCCACAAACGAACGTGACATTTTTATTTATATAGATTAGCATTATTACATTACAATGTTATTATTTCTATATATTATTATGTTGTATATATCGAGGGGCTCCCAAGTGATGTTGCAGGAGGCACGGTAATAATCCCATAATAATAATAATAATAATAATCATCATCATCATCATCATCATCTTTATTTATACCCCGCCACCATCTCACCACCTGTATTTATTTTTGACTCATTCAAACACTTCTCTTTGGAAGTGAGTATTTCCCGATGGATCGCATTCTAAAATGTTTGGGATGGTCCGGTCTGACTTAATGCCGTCCCAGCCTGGATTATTTTCTGCATTTCGTTTGAAATCGATACTGCATTTTATTCCGGGCAGCGTTTGCAAAGGACATGGACATTTAAGAAGGATGCAGGAGGGAAGAATACATGGAAAAGGGAAAATTGCCACAAAAGCCGGTTCAGAAAAGCTGACCTCTCTCTAATAACCCAAATAAAGGCTTTGTTTCAGCTGTCCTTTGGAGATAAATAGCCTGGGATTTGCTCTTGAGTTAGGCTTTGTGCCTACTCTAGAGCAGGCATGGGCCAACTTCGGCCCTCCAGGTGTTTTGGACTTCAACTCCCATAATTCCTAACAGCCGGTAGGCTGTTAGGAATTATGGGAGTTGAAGTCCAAAACACCTGGAGGGCCGAAGTTGGCTCATGCCTGCTCTAGAGACTATTCCTTGGTTGTGTGGATTACAGCCCGAAGGCCACATCCGGCCCCACAAGGTCTTTCCCACAGGCCCCACACCATTCGAACCCATGCCCCACTCATACGTGCTCTTATGCTGCATATGCGCTCTCCTCTGTGGAAGGAAGGGAATGAGGAAGGGAGGAAGCAAGGAAGGAAAAAAGAAATAAAGGGTGGGAGGGAGGGAAAGGGAAAGAAAGGAAGGAAGAGAAAAGGAAAAAAGTGAGTGAGGGAAGTAGGGAGAAAAAAGTAATAAAGGGAGGGAATGAGGAAGGAAGTAGGGAAAAAGGGAAAGGGAGGGAGGAAAAAAGGAAGGCAGAAAAAAGGGAAGGAAGGAAAAAAAGAAAAAAGGGAAGAAGGGAAGGAAAAAAGGAAAAGGAGGGAGGGAAGGAGGGGAAGGAAGGAAGAGAAGGAAAAGAGAGAGGAAGGGGGAGAAAGAGGAAGGGGGAAGGAAAGAAAGAAAGAAAAAAAATAAAGAAGGAAGGAAAGCAGAAAGGGAAGGAGAAGGAAGGGAAGGAGGGAGAAAGGAAGGAAGGGGAAAAGGAAAGGAATGAGGAGGAGGAGGAAAGAAAAAGGGAAAGGAAGGGAGGAGGGAGGGAGGAGGAGGGAGGGAGAAAGAGGGAAGGAAGGAAGAAAGGGAGGGAAGAAGGAAGAAGAAGAGAGGAAAGGAAGGAAGGAGAAAGGAAGGAAGGAAGAAAAAAGAAAAAGGGAGAAGAAGGAAGGAGAAGGAAGGAAAGAGGAGAAGAAGAAAAGGAAAGGAAGGAGGGAAGGAGAAGGGAGGAAGGAAGAAGAGAAAGGAGAGGGGAAGGAGGAAGGAAGAGAAAGAGGAAAGAAGGAAGGAAGGAGGGAAGGAGGAAAGGAAAGAGAAGAAGGAGAGAAGAAGAGAAAGGAAGAAAAGGAAGAAAAGGAAGGAAGAAAAAGGAGGAAAGAAGGAAGAAAAAGGAAAGGGAGAAGGAAAGAAAGAAGGGAAAGGAGGGGGAAGGAAGGAAGGGGAAGGAAAGAAAGGGAAGAGGGAAAAGGAAGGAGGAAGGAGGAAAGAAGGAAAAGGAGGAGGAAAAGAGGAAAAAAAGAAAAAGGAGGAAAAAAGAAGAAAGGAAGGAGGAAGAAGGAAGAGAGAGGGAAGAAGGAGGGAGGAAGGAAATAAAGGGAGGAAGAAAGGGAACGGGGAGAAAGGGAGGGAAGGAAGGAAGAAAAGGAATAAAGAAGGAAGTAGGGGAAAAAAGGAAACAAAGGGAGGGAGGGAAGGAAAGAAGGAAAGAAATTAGAGAGAAAGAGGAGAAGGAAGCAGAAAAGGAAAAAGAAAGGAAGAAAGAAAGGGGATGAGGAAGGAAGGGGAAGAAAGGAAGGGCAGCTTAGCGAAGCCACACTCTCTCAGCCAGCCTTGACAAGAAAACACTGTGATAAGAGGCTGAAATGACTTGAAGGATCACAACAACAACAATAACAACAACTCTCATTCACTTGACTATCTCATTGGCCAAAAGTGGCCCACTATTGCTAAGTGTATGTAGGTTGAAAATGTTCTTCATTTTCAATATTGTTTTGTACTTTTTTTTTGCATACCACAAATTAGACATCGGGATTTATGGTAAATACAGCCTTCCAAAGTAACTTTTCCAAATGCTGTCATAATAATAGTAGTAGTATAATAGAATAATAGTAGCTTTCTTAGAAGAATCCATCTCTTAAAACTCCGTATCCTGTGTATTATATTTGCAATACACTGTTCCAGATTTGCATCAAAATATCCATTCAAACCTATTGTGCAAAGAACTGCCAAGAGAGGTCAAAACCAAACTAAAAACATCAGCAAAATGTCATAATATAAAACCTTCTGGATTTTAAAATGCAAGATGATTCCAAAGTAAACCGAACATTTGCTAAAAAACAAATACATTCCTGCAAAGGAGAAAACCTGCGCTTAAAGCAAACATTTCCCTTGATGCATTAGTTTTCTATTTTCTATTACATAATTTGGGTATACATTAAGTCTAAAATCCTTGTGCCCATTGAAGGTTTTTTTTTGTTTGTTTGCATATGTCAATAGGAAGCAAAGGAAAAAAGGAGGAAAGTACAGGCAGAAGGAAGTCAAATGAAGGAAGAGAAGCAGGAAAGAGTTTGAAAAAGGAAACAGAAATCGCAATGTTTGCAGAAAATGGCATTGGAAAGAATGGGAACGGAGGAGAGAATTGAGGAATTTATCAGTGGCCAATTAAATGGCGTAATTGCAATTGTGGGAGTTGTAGTTCAAAACACCTGGAGGGCCCAAGTTTGCCCATGGCCATTATATGGGGTTGGTTTGAACCTCCAGTTTGCTAGTAAAGCTGCATGACTGCGTTGCAAAAGGATGCAATACGAAAAATTTGCAAAGTTCTGCTATAGGTGCACGGTTTGCACTATATCAATCTCCAAGTGCATGGTTTGCATTATATCAATCTCCTCCAGTTTGCTCGTAAAAATGCATATGACCGTGTTGCAAAAGGATGCATGCAACATGAAAAGTTTGCAAAGTTCTGCCATAGGTGCATGGTTTGCATTATATCAGTCTCCAAGCGGCCTTTGTTTACATCTGGTTGCAAAGAGTTTGGGTTTCAAACGGCTCCAGGAATGTAGTCCAGCAAAGAAAGAAACGAAGCGCTCCACTGAACAGATCGGTCCAACTGCGACTGACAGCAAATTTCTGGGACCCGAAACCCGTTTCGAGAGTAAATCCCACCCCAAAAAGAGTCAATGCGGACGGACACACCTCGTTTCCTCTTCCTCTCCAGCCTTCCCTCTGGAGTGGCAGCAGAAAAGGCCGTAAGAAGAAAGTGACACACGTTAAGGTCATGCAAGAAAAGAAGGGAGGAAAGAAGGAAGGAAGGATGGATGGAGAGAAAGGAGGAGGATCCAACCCAGAAGGGGAGAAAAAAAGGGGGGATTGAGAAAGAGAGAGAAAGAAAGAGAAATTAGTGCTGTCGTCGTTTGGAAACTCTTCTCCTTCCCACAAAGCAGCAATCGAAAAGCTGTGTATCACTGCTATTGGAACACATCCAGCCCAAGGTTGTAGTCCTCATCGAGGACTCAGATAGGTAGAGGCCTTCTCCCATTGGGTTCTCTGTTTGCCTTTTACTCTATTCTATCCTCCTAACACTTTGATTGTTAGAATGACACTTCTCAGGGCAAGTCCTCCACTGTATTCTTCTCCTGTGAGCATGGAGAGAGGCAAGATGCCTGCTGTCAGTTATGTATGTATGTATGTATGTATTTATTTATTTACATTATTTCTATCCCACCCATTTCAGCCCAAAGGCTACTCAGGGCGGTATACACAGTCGGCACAATTTGATGCCGAAACAAAATACATACATTAATAAAGCAAAAACATCAAGTGCAAATTAAATTAGATAGTTGGACAGCCCTGCGTTAGCTTTCCTATCTAGTTATGTAGTTCTTTGAATAAAATCTTCACTTCTCAACATAAGCCCCAGAATCCTCCATTGTAACCTTCTCCTGTGAGCATGGAGAGAGGCAAGATGTCTGCTGCGAGTTAGTTGGTTAATTAGATAGCTAGGCAGCCCTGTGTTAACTTTCCTATCTAGTTTTGTAGTTCTCTGAATAAAGTCTCCACTTCTCAGCACTTAGCCACAGTCATCCATTGTATCCTTCTTCTGTGAGCATGGAGAGAGGCAAGATGTCTGCTGCGAGTTAGTTGGTTAATTAGATAGCTAGGCAGGCCTGTGTTAACTTTCCTATCTAGTTTTGTAGTTCTCTGAATTAAATCTCTACTTCTTACCACAAGTCCTCCATTGTATCCTTCTTCTGTTAGCATGGAGAGAGGCAAGATGTCTGCTGCGAGTTAGTTAGTTAGTTAATTAGATAGCTAGGCAGCCCTGTTAACATCCCTATCTAGTTTTGTAGTTCTCTGAATAAAGTCTCCACTTCTCAGCACTAGCCACAGAGCCATCCGTTGTATCCTTCTTCTGTGAGCATGGAGAGAGGCAAGATGTCTGCTGCGAGTTAGTTAGTTAATTAGATATCTAGGCAGCCCTGTGTAAACTTTCCTATCTAGTTTTGTAGTTCTCTGAATAAAGTCTCCACTTCTCAGCACTAGCCACAGAGTCATCCATTGTATCCTTTTTCTGTGAGCATGGAGAGAGGCAAGATGTCTGCTGTGAATTAGTTAGTTAATTAGATAGCTAGGCAGCCCTATGTTAACTTTCCTATCTAGTTTTGTAGTTCTCTGAATAAAGTCTCCACTTCTCAGCACTAGCCACAGAGTCATCCATTGTATCATTCTTCTGTGAGCATGGAGAGAGGCAAGATGTCTGCTGCGAGTTAGTTAGTTAATTAGATAGCTAGGCAGCCCTGAGTTAACTTTCCTATCTAGTTTTGTAGTTCTCTGAATAAAGTCTCCACTTCTCAGCACTAGCCACAGAGTCATCCATTGTATCATTCTTCTGTGAGCATGGAGAGAGGCAAGATGTCTGCTGTGAATTAGTTAGTTAATTAGATAGCTAGGTAGCTCTGTGTTAACTTTCCTATCTAGTTTTGTAGTTCTCTGAAGAAAGTCTCCACTTCTCAGCACTAGCCACAGAGTCATCCATTGTATCCTTTTTCTGTGAGCATGGAGAGAGGCAAGATGTCTGCTGCGAGTTAGTTAATTAGATAGCTAGGCAGCCCTATGTTAACTTTCCTATCTAGTTATGTAGTTCTCTGAATAAAATCTCCACTTCTTACCACAAGTCCTCCATTGTATCCTTCTTCTGTGAGCATGGAGAGAGGCAAGATGTCTGCTGCGAGTTAGTTAGTTAATTAGATAGCTGGTAGCCCTGTGTTAGCTTTCCTATCTAATTATGTAGTTCTCTGAATAAAGTCTTCAGTTCTCAATACAAGTCCCAGAATCTTCCAGTGTAACCTTCTCCAGTGAGCATGGAGAGAGGAAAGATGTCTGCTGCGAGTTAGTAAATTAGATAGCTGGTAGCCCTCTGTTAGCTTTCCTATCTAGTTATGTAGTCCTTTGAATAACTTTGTAAGCTTGACTGGTGCTGTACTGCTTAAACTCTATGGCTCTACTGCTGGCACCAAAAGCTTCTGATCTGCTGTTGTAGCTGCTTTACCCTTTTGGAAATGAGTCCCCAACAACTGGAAGGTGAAAGGCCATCTCTGCCAGCCAACTTCCACTTATGAGACTGCTCTTTACATAAAACCTACACTATTTGTAGAAAAACTGCGTACACAATGGTGCTTGGAGCGATCCAAGCTCTCTCTAGATTGAGTTCTCCCTCATTTCCACTCCACTGAATTGAATTTGGGGGGGGGGGGGCACAACTCATCTTGATAATAGAAGACGGGAGGAATATCAAACGAGAGCAATTCTCCCTCCACTGTGATATAAGTGTATTTATTACACACACATCCCCTATGGAAAATAATACAAAACCCTCCAACCTGGTGGTGGGGGACCGCTTCCGCCTTTCGCAATGGACAGCATCGAAGAAGGCCGCGTTCCAAAACCTCAAGGTATGCCTGCAAAACGGAGGAAGAGAAGCCGGTCAGGAGAGAAGCCTCACCTGGTTAAGACTTGTTAGAAATAGTCCCGATTCTTTGTCCCTAATTGCAAGGGTTGAATGAAAAGTAATGCCTCCACCTTCGTAACTCCTCAACAAATGGCAGTACTGGTATGCGGCAGGTACTGGCTTATTCAGTAGACTCTCCTCTACAGTTCCATTTTGGTGGGAAGCCTTAGCATTGAATGGTTGTGTTGTTAAAGTGTGAAGTATGGCACCCTGTCCAGACGGTCGGTCAATGTGACATAAGCAACGTTCAGTCATTGAATTCTTGACAGCAGAAGGTGTTGCCCCAAAGGAGATTCATCAGAAAATGCAAGCTGTTTATGGCGATTGTGTTGATCTGAGTACTGTGTGTCATTTGGCAAGTAAGTTTAAAGTTGTTGAGGTGGGAACATCTGACTTGTGTGACAAAGAATTGGACGTCCTGTGACAGCAACCACCGAGTTTCACAAGCAAAAGTTGACAGATTGATTCAGGACGATCGTCGTATCACTCAGAGAGAAATTTCAAGCATAATCGGCATTTCACAAGAACGTGTGGGTCACATTATTGCTTTGCTTGGCTATCGGAAGATCTGTGCACGATGGGTTGTGGAAACAGAGTGTCGACTTGTTCCATGACAGCTTCAGAAAACTTGTTCATTGTTGGCAGAAATGTATCCAATTGTCTGGTGATTATGTGGAAAAGTGAATAGTGGTAGTTAAAGAGCACATTCTAAGGATTATTTCTGTGTTTGATTTATTAAAATATTCCCATCCAAACCCAAGTAATGAAGGTGGAGGCATTACTTCTCATTTAACCCTCGTAGAAAGAAGGAAAAATAGCCTTAACTATTGGTCCCAGTAAGAACTCCATTGTAATTCATACAATAACTTCACAGTGGTCTTCAAATTAGTGGATTTTGCAGCTTTAGTTAGTGGAGTTGAAAGGGTCTTTGAGTGAAATTAGCAATAGCTAAGCAAGGGGCTTTGAATGACATTAGCAACAAAGGAGAAATGTACCCTTTCTCTGTAGAAAAGGAGCAGCACGGAGGAAAATGTTTTAAAAACAAGAGCTGACATGTAGAGGTCATACAAAGTTCAAGCTTACATAGGAAGTTGGTTTGTGGTTTAGCGCAAAGTCTGCAGGTGCAAGAAGGTACTTTCCATCAAAAGGTCAAGGGAGAGGGGCTGGAAAGAGAGTACTTTCCATGACCAAAAAACCCTTGTATTACCTGAGTATAAAGGTTTGCAAAAGTCGAGGAGGGCCGTGGCAGTCTGTGGAAGCACTTGCAGAAGTGCTGTCTGTCCGCCTCATGCTGATTAGCTTGAATAAATGGTGTCTTACCTGAACCTATTGGACTCTGTGGATTTCTTCGAAAAGGGACCCCACACCCTAAACCCGTGATCCCTTACTGAGTCATTGTCAATGCATTTAATATTTTTCAGCCTCAGTGGAGTCATTGTTTAACTTTTGAGGATTTGATTATTTCTGGGTTTTCTCCTTCTCCGAATCCCAGTGAATGCAAAGAAAGGACTATATATGTATTTCTATTGTTTGAAGTTTCTGCAAGCTGCATTGAGTCCAAACTGTGGGAAACTATCGTCCCCGTTCGTCTTTCAAACATACCAAATGGGCTGCTGCTTCAGATGCATATACAAGTAAATCTTCTCCCCTGTTTTCTCTTCTTCTTCTTCAGGACTATATAGGGAAACTGCAATAAAAATGGGAAAATATAGCCAGAAAAAAAGGATTTACATCTAAGATGCAAAGAATCATAGAATCAAGAGACCTCATGGGCCATTCAGTCGAACTCCATTCTGCCAAGAAGCAGAAAAATTGCATTCCAAGCACCCCCAACAGATGGCCATCTAGCCTCTGTTTAAAAGCCTCCAAAGAAGGAGCCTCCACCACACTTCGGGGCAGAGAGTTCCACTGCTGAACGGCTCTCACAGTCAGGAAGTTCTTCCTAATGTTCAGATGGAATCTCCTTTCTTGTAGTTTGAAGCCATTGTTCCATTGCATCTTAGTCTCCAGGGAAGCAGAAAACAAGCTTGCTCCTTCCTCCCTATGACTTCCTCTCATGTATTTATATATGGCCATCATCTTGTCCAGAATTGGACACAATATTCCAGGTGTGGTCTAACCAAAGTGGAATAGAGGGGTAGCATGACTTCCCTAGATCTAGACACTATGCTCCTATTGATGCAGGCCAAAATCCCTCATCCTGTCTCCTCTTAGCCTTCTGTTCTTCAGGCTAAACATGCTCAGCTCTTTAAGCCGCTCCTCATAGGGCTTGTTCTCCAGACCCTTTATCATTTTAGTCGCCTTCCTCTGGACACATTCCAGCTTGTCAATATCTCTCTTCAATTGTGGTGCCCAGAACTGAACACAATATTCCAGGTGTGGTCTAACCAAGGCAAAATAGAGCACGGGTAGCATGACTTCCCTGGAGCTAGACACTATATTCCTATTGATGCAGGCCAAAATCCCATTGGCTTTTTTTGCTGCCGCATCACATTGTTGGCTCATGTTTAACTTGTTGTCCACATGGATTCCAAGATTTTTTTCACATGTACTGCTCTCGAGCCACGCATCCCCCATTCTGTATCTTTTGGTGTTTTTCTAACACAACTTACCTGATTTCTGGATCCTTTCCTTTGGCTTTTCTTCACCATTTCTAAAGTAGAAAGAAAAGGTACTATTTAAGTTTCAGAGGGCTGAAGTTGGCCCATGCCTGGTGCAGACATGGTCAATATGCTTCCACTGCGGGACTCACTCATTTTTCTTGGGGACAGGGCCCTTCATCTTGCTCTCAAAGCTCCCGAAAAAGCCCTTGACGTTCTCCGTTTTGGCTGAAGTGTTCTTCAGGAGCCGCTCCGCAATGTCCTTCTTCTCTGCCAACCAGGTGTTTGCAGACTTCAGGTAGGAATCCATGCTGCCGGATGCCTTCTCCTTGGATTCAGGAGGCAGGGCTTGCGGCTTCCCTGTCGGAAGAGGATCCCATAAATACTCAACCCCATCCTGAACAAATTGGTAGTCCTCATCAAGGAAAAAGATAGGTAGATGAGGAAGAGGGAATACAAGAGGGAGCAGGCTCATGCACAGGGGTTCTCAACCTTTTTCAGCAGCAGAACCCCTTTGCAAAACAAAAGGTTCCAAGTGGAGACTCAATAAATGTATAATATAAATAATGTATACACATTTATCAGGCATGGGCAAACTTTTGTACCAACAAATACTATAATACTAACCACTTTGAGTGGCCTAAGGGCTGAGAAAAGCAGTATATAAATGAAGTAATAAATAAACAAAAAACATAAATGTAACAGTATTTCAGTGGAAGACCCCTGTGCCGGCAGGATTGAAGACCGACAGGTCACAGGTTCAAATCCAGGGAGAGTGTGGATGAGCTTCCTCTGTCAGCTCCAGCTCCTCATGCAGGGACATGAGAGAAGCCTCCCACAGGATGATAAAACATCAAACCATCCGGGCGTCCCCTGGGCAACGTCCTTGCAGACAGCCAATTCTCTCACACCAGAAGCGACTTGCAGTTCCTCAAGTCGCTCCTGATACGAGCAAAAGTGGAAGACCACATAGGCCATCCAGTTCAACTCCCTTTATTCTGCCATGCAGGAAAAGCACAATCAAAGCACTCTCAACAGATTGCCATCCAGCATTTGTAACAACAATAACAACAGATTTGGAAAGGACCCCCAAAGGCCATGCAGTCCAACCCCTTCTTTCTGTCATACAGGGAAAGCACAATCAAAGCACTCCCAACAGAGGGCCAACCAGTCTTTGTAGTAGTAATAATAATAATAATAATAATAATAATAATAATAATAATAATAATAGAAGGTTTGGAAGGCACCCCAAAGGCCATCCAGTCCAACCCCCTTTATTCTGCCATGAAGGCTAGGCACAATCAAAGCATGCCCATCCAGCCTTTTTAATAAATAATAATAATAATAATAATAATAATAATAATAATAATAGAAACCCATGCAGGAAAATTGCAATCAAAACATCCCAACAGATGGCCATGCAGCCTTTGTAGTAATAATAATAATAATACGTAAAGTATTTTATAGCCTTTACAGCTTGCCTTTGCTCCTGTAATTGCTGACGATCATTTGCTCTACTGCTGCGCTCAAAAAGCTTCTTTTCTGCTAAAAATTCTGCTGATTTACATTTTTCATACTTTTCCTTTTTTTGAAATTACCCAACATCAATTATAATGGAGATTCTTAGAAGAGAAGGCTTCTATAGGCAATTTTTTGAGCTCTTCCGGTGCAATTCTATGGTGAACTTCCAGGCAAAGTTGACCACAGAGTCACAAAGTAGGCAGACCGTCTACTTTGAAAAATGTTTAATAATAGTATAGAACAGATTTTCTTCCACTTTCACGGCCTTAATTCCTGCAAAAGTCATTGCAATTGTTAAGCCCCTTCTTCTGTCCTCAGAAATTAAATGAATTATTATTATTATTATTATTATTATTATTATTATTATTATTATTCCTTTGCTTACCGATGTAATAATAAGTAAAGCACATGGTCATCAGGTTCTTGGCAGGACTAAAGTCATCCATTTGGAAGCACCTGGAAAGGAGAGAATATAATAATAATAATAATAATAATAATAATAATAATAATAATAATAATAATAATACATTCCTCCCTTTATAACCTGCCTGTAGCTACTAGAAGAGGCGTGTAAGAATAATGATAATACTAATAATAATAACAACAACAAATAAATAAATAACATCATCATCATCATCAACCACAAGCAGGTCATTCCCACCTTTGTAACCTGCCCTGAACCACCAGAAGAGGCAGGTAGTAGTAGTAATAATAATAATAATAATAATAATAATAATAATAATAATAATAGATAAAGGCAAAGGTTTCCCCTTGACATTAAGTCTAGTCATGTCCAACTCTGAGGGATGGTGCTCATCTCCATTTCTAAGCTGAAGCCGTAGACGCTTCCAAGGTCACGTGGCCGGCATGACTTCCTGCCTGAGCAGTACATATTGATCTACTCACATTTGCATGTTTTTGAACTGCTAGGTTGGCAGAAGCTGGGGCTATCGGCGAGAGTTCACCTCGCTCCTTGGATTCAAACCACCAACATTTCAGTCACCAAGTTCAGCAGCTCAGCGGTTTAACCCACTATGCCACTGGAGGCTCCAATAATAACAACAACAACAAATAAATTATAAATAAATAATGTATTATTATTATTATCAATTGCAAACAGGCCATTCCCACCTTTGTAACCTCACCTTTGTAACCTGCCTCGAGCCACTAGAAGAGGCAGGTAATAATAATAATAATAATAATAATAATAATAATAATAATAATACATTGCACAGTCCTAGACGCTTGGGAAGTGTTCGACTTGTGATTTTGTGATACGAAATCCAGCATATAGATCTCGTTTGCTGTGACATACTGTGATTTTGTGTCAGTAAAATAATAATAATAATAATAATAATAATAATAATGATAATAATAATAATAACAATAATAAATTGCAAGCAGGCCATTCCCACCTTCGTAACCTGTCTCATAACAACAATAACAACAACAACAACGAACAATAATAAATAATAAATATTTATTATTATAATATTCAAAAACAACAACCACAAGCAAAACATTCCCACCTTTGTTTTAAAGACTTACAGTAGAGCTTTCCAAACATTTCATGTCAGTGACACACTTTTTGAGATGTGCATCATTTTGCAACAGAGATCAGTGGTTCTCAACCTGGGGTCCCCAGATGTTTTTGGCCTTCAACTCCCAGAAATCCTAACAGCTGGTAAATAGGCTGGGATTTCTGGGAGTTGTAGGTCAAAAACATCTGGGGACCCCAGGTTGAGAACTACTGTGCAACACAGTCATTGCCGCAATATATTTATTTTCTTATGCGTCCATATCTTATATGAGATAACAACACACACATAAAACTGTAATGACAACATATCTCGTGAAATCCTTTTCATTTATATATACAGTATATTTACACATACATGATTGTATTGTCGAAGGCTTTCATGGCTTTAATCACTAGGTTCTTGTGGCTTTTTTCGGGCTATATGGCCATGTTCTAGAGGCATTTCTCCTGACGTTTCGCCTGCATCTATGGCAAGCATCCTCAGAGGTAGTGAGGTCTGTTGGAAATAGGACAATGGGTTTATATATCTGTGGAATGGCTGAGGTGGGGCAAAGAGCTCTTCTCTGCTGGAGCTAGGTGTGAATGTTTCAACTGACCACCTTCATTAGCATTTGAAGGCCTGGCTGAGCCTGGGAAAATCTTTTGTTGAGAGGTGTTAAGATGTGCCTGGTTGTTTCCACTCTGATGTTTTATGATTTATTGCTTATTTCACATAGAGGCTTATCTCACAAAGAGGATTATCGTGACCTTTGTGCAATGCATGAGTCTCACCCGTGGGAGAAAAGTGGGATATAATATATATATGAAGTTGAGACATTGCCAACAGTTTGGAAAGCTCTGTTTTACAGACTTGCTGGATATACAATTGATCAAGAAAGGAACTTACTCAAAGAGCACCACCGCAAAGGACTGAACGAGCCGATAGAACGTCTGTTCCGAAACGCACTTGGAATTGCAGCGCTGGAAGGAGACACGAAAAGCAGAGTTAAGCAACCAAGGCTTTTATGGATTTATTTTAATATGTTCTCTCCAACCTTTTTCAGCTGCTGAAGCCTTTTGGAAGCAAAATTTTGTTGTGGAGTCCCAATAAATATTTGCATATTATATTACAATGTATTATGTTACTAGCTTGGGGAGCGACGATGCCCGGATTACTTGAGAAAGACATTGTTTGTTTTGGAAAGTTTGGTAATATCTCTGGATGCAGAGTGAACTACAACTCCCGCGCAGGTGGGTCATTCCCCCAAACCCCTCCAGTATGTAATGTTGGCCCAGGTTATTTGAAAAAGCAGTGTTTGTTTTGGAGTGTTAGGTAGTATCAGTCTGGTAACTTGTAGCTCTATTTCTTACAAAAAAGCCAGTCTTTCCTGTTGTTTTTTTTTATGAATGCTCCCATTAGAATGCAGAAGGATGTGGGTGAACTGCAGTTTCCAAAATCGTGGGCCAATCATTCCAAATCCCACAACATGGCCATGTTGGCTCTGTCTGCCAGGTTTTGTCCAGATCCAATGTCGGCTGCATTCAGTGCTCTCTGGATAAGAGTGAACTACAACTCCCAGATCAAAGGTCATTAACCCCCAAACCCTGCCTGTATGAGCAGTTGACCATGTTGGGTCTGTGTACCAGGTTTGTTCCAGATCCATAGTCGGCTGGGTTCAGTGTTCTCTGGATAAGGGTGAACTACAACTCCCAGAGCCAAGGACAATCACCCTCAAACCAAACCTATATGCACAGTTGGCCATGTTGGGTCTGTGTGCTAAGTGTGGTCCAGATGTGATGTCGTCTGGCTTCAAGGCTCTCTGGATAAGGGTGAACTACGACTCCCAGAGACAAGGTCATTCACCCCCAAACCCGGCCTGTATGCACAGTTGGCCATGTTGGGTCTGTGTGCAGATCCAACATTGGCTGGGTTTAGTGCTTTCTGGATAAGGGTGAACTACAACTCCCAACATCAAGGTCTATTCCCCCAAACCCCTGCAGTATGTTCAGTTGGTCATGGGGCTTCTCTGTGCCAAGTTTTGTCCCAGTCCATTGTTAGTGGAGGTCACAGTTTCTCCGGATGCAGGGAAACTATAACTCCCATGAAGGTCAATTTCCTCCAAACATCTATATATCGGGCATGGACAAATGTTTTGACCAACATAAATGTAACAGTATTTCAGTGCAAGACCCCAGAGGCCATCCAGTCCAACCTTTATTCTGCCATGCTGGAAAAGCACAATCAAAGCACCTCAACAGATGCCATCCAGCCTTTGTAATAATAATAATAATAATAATAATAATAATAATAATAATAGGAACCCATGTAGGAAAAGCACAATCAAAACTCCCCCAACAGATGTCATCCAGCCTTTGTAATAATAATAATAATAATAATAATAATAATAATAATAATAGGAGCAACCCCAGGGGACAACTCCTTTTATCCTGCCACGCAGCAAACGCACAGTCAAAGCACCCCCAACAGATGGCCATTCAACCTTTGTTATAATAATAATCATCATCATCATCATCTATATAAATAAAAATGTAATGTTCGTTTGTGGTATTCACAGAACTCAAAAACCTGGGGCAATTGGCACCAAATTTGGACACGATACACCTAACAACCCAATGTATGTCCTTCACTAAAAAAAATTGATTTTGTCATTTGGGAGTTGTAGTTGCTGGGATCTTATAGTTCACCTACAATCAAAGAGCATTCTGAACTCCACCAATGATGGAATTGAACCAAACTTGGCACACAGAACTCCCATGACAACAGAAAACACTAGAAGGGTTTGGTGGGCATTGACCTTGAGTTTGGGAGTTGTAGTTCACCTACATCCAGAGAGCACTGTGGACTCAAACAATGATGGATCTGGACCAAACTTGGCACGAATACTCAATATGCCCAAATGTGAACCCTGATGGAGTTTGGGGAAAATAGAATCTTGACATTTGGGAGTTGTAGTTGCTGGGATTTATAGTTCACCTACAATCACAGAGCATTCTGAACCCCACCAACGATAGAATTGGGCCAAACCTCCCACAAAGAACCCCCATGTGGGCCACAGCAACGCGTGGCAGGGGACGGCTAGTCTATATAAATAAAAATGTAATGTTCGTTTGTGGGATTAACATAACTCAAAAACCACTGGATGAATTGACACCAAATTTGGACACAATACACCTATCAGGCCAATGAGTGACCATCACTCATAAAAACACTGAAAAACACAGCGGAAGGGACTTAAAAAGCCAAAAAAAGCAAAAAGACACTACAGCGCATGCGCAAAAACAACTCCCCCAGCAAACAAAACACACAATAGCATATCCACGTTCTCTTCTGGACCACAGCTCCCAGCATCCCCTAGACCAGGCCCTTTAGGAGAGGGGGATGATCCAAATGCACTGCTTCCAAGCTGCAAGCTTGCTTCTCCTTGGGTTTCTTTGAGAGCATCCCAATACCTGCATATTTTCAATTTCCTATTCCTGGACTGCAACTCCCAGCAATCCTCCAGATAGATAGATCAGATAGAGATAGGTAGGTAGGTAGATCAGGAGGACTGCTGGGAGTTGCAGTCCAAGAATAGGTAGAGAAGGAAGAAAGGGGAGAAAGAGGAAGGGAAAGAAAAGGGGGAGAGAAAGGGAAGAGGAAGGAAGGAGAGAAGGAAAGAAAAAAAGGGAAAGAAGGAAGGAGAGAAAGATGGAGGGAAGGTTGGCCACAACAATGCATGGCAGATACAGCTAATAATAATAATATGGGTCTAGGTGGCAAGAAGGCAAGGAGGAAAATGTCAATGAAGGAGGAAGAGAAGACTTTACGAACTGCTGCTCGAGGCATTTCCATAGGGTTGCATTGGAGAACCGAGATGTTCCTGCCCTATGTAACCCCAAATGCTTCCTTACCTGGGCGCTCACGTATCGGGCAAACCACTCCCGGCCTTTGGCGTTTTCACCGCTGCAGAGTTCCCCAAACCTGGCCTTCTCTTCTTGGTCAAACTCCTCTCTGCAATCACAAAAACACAATGAACACCTTGGGCATCAAGGAAGAATATTACAGGGTAGCCCAGGCATGGGCAAACTTCGGCCCTCCAGGTGTTTTGGACTTCAACTCCCACAATTCCTAACAGCCTACTGGCTGTTAGGAATTGTGGGAGTTGAAGTCCAAAACACCTGGAGGGTCCAAGTTTGCCCATGCCTGGGGCAGCCTATATTGGCCCTGCTGCAAACCAAAAGGAAGTCTGCAAAAGTATTAGGCAACCAAAAAATGCGATGCAGGCTTTCAAAGGCATAAAAGCAACCCAGAGCTAGGGAAAGTTGCTTCAAGGGGACCACAGCTTCCACAATTACACACCTATAACAATCACTGTCAGTTCCACGTTCTTTTTAGGGGAGAAGCCAAAGGTTGGAATCAGGGCATGGAGCCAAATCAGATCCATGATACCGCTTTGCCAAGATACCACTGTTTTTGGAAATTTCCCCCCATTCTATACAGCGGAAACACCACTGGCAGGAAGAACTTTAAGCTAAAATATTGTCAGTGTTTTCCTTTTGCTTTTGGCCATGTAAATAGAAGAAAGAAAGAAAGAAAGAAAGAAAGAAAGAAAGAAAGACAGAAAATGGACCGATCATAGATAAAAGATAGATAGATAGATAGATAGATAGATAGATAGATAGATAGATAGATGGATTATTGTAAATGGATGAACATAGATAGAGAGGGGGAGGCGATAGATAGATAGATAGATAGATAGATAGATAGATAGATAGATAGATAGATGGATGATTGGTAAACAGATGGACAGATAGATAAAGAGAGAGAGAAAGATAGATGAATGTATGTATGGATCGATGGATGGATGGATGATTGGTAGATAGATGATTGGTAAACGGATGGACAGATAGATAAAGAGAGAGTGAGTAGATAGATAGATAGATAGATAGATAGATAGATAGATAGATGGATGATTGGTAAATAGATGGGCAGTTAGATGAACAGAGAGAGTGGGTAGACAGATAGATAGATGATTGATAAATGGATGGACAGATAGATGATAGATGACAGAAGACAGACAGATAGATGGTAGATAGAAGATATATGATAAATAGATAGATAGCTGATTGATAGATGATAGATCATTTGATAGATGATATATAGGCAGATGAGTGATAGATAGATAGATAGTAAATAGAAGATAGATGATAAATAGATAATAGTTATATGATATGTAAATGGATAGATAGATAGATAGATAGATAGATAGATAGATAGATAGATAGGGAGAGAATAGATAAATAGACAGACAGGCAGATATATGATAGGAGACAGACAGAACAGGGATAGATAACAGATGATAGATAGATAGATGGATGATTGGTAAATGGATGAACAGATAGATGATAGATGACAGAAGACAGACAGATGGATGGTAGAAAGAAGATAGATGATAAATAGATAGATAGCTGATTGATAGATGATAGCTCATTTGATAGATGATATATAGGCAGATGAGAGATAGATAGATAGATAGATAGATAGATAGATAGATAGATAGATAGATGGCAAATAGTAGATGATAAATAGATAATAGATATATGATATGCAAATGGATAGATAAATAAATAGGCAGAGAATAGACAAATAGACAAATAATGTCTCTATCTCAAAGAAGATAGAACAAGGATAGATGATAGATAGAAGATAGATGATAATAGATAAATAGATAGATGTTAGGTGAAATAAATGGATGGAGATAGATAGATAATGCAAATGTTCAATCAGATGTATGCAAACTGGTAATGTCAGAAAATACTCCAGTGCAAAACAGGCACAGAATACAAGGAGAGGGAAATTCCAGCATAAAATGACATGCCTAAGTGTCTCTGAAAATAGTGAGGCATATGATGTTCTGATAAAATCACCATGAGAGTTGAAGCAGGAGGAGCCCACTCAGCTATGGAAACGTACTGGGTGGCCTTGGGGAAGTCACACTCTCTCAGCCTCAAAGAAATGGCAAAAAAAACCCTTTGAACAAAGAAAACTCCATGATAGCTTCTCCGCAGGGTTGTTGTAAGTCTTAACAATACGAAGGCACACAACAAAACAGGAAGAGAAGCTTAAGAAATTAAACGATCAATCAAATAAGTGCAATAAAAGTGGTTAGGTCTGTCCAGGAGCAAAAGAAAAACAATGACGCATAGAGAGAGCGAGGGACAGCCACTGCCTTGACATTAAAGAATGGTTATTTGGGTCACGGTGACTCAGAGCCGAATTGCTCAACGGCAATTTAATGGAACAAGGAATGAAATGTGAACAAATAATGCAGCCAATGCAGATGGATGTACAAAAGGAAGGAAGGAAGAAAAAAGGGGGGAAAGAGAGGAAGGAAGGGAAGTAGGGAGAAAGAGGGAGGGAGAAGGAAGGAAGGAAGGAAGGAAGGAAGGAAGGAAGGAAGGAAGGAAGGAAGGAATTGATTTGCTGTTTATTATTTTGTAAGGATGGGGGGAGTACCATATATACATGGATAAGCCAATCTCATATATATGTCAAGGGGAGGTTAGGGAGGGAGGGAGGGAAGGAAGGAAGGAAGGAGGGAAGGAAGGAAGGAAGGAGGAGGAAGGAAGGAAGGAAGGAGGGAAGGAAGGAAGAAAGAAGGAAGAAGGAAGGAGAAAGGAAGGAGGGGAGGAAGGAAATGAAGAAGGAAGGAAAGGAAGAATGAAGGAAGGATGCAGGAAAGAAGGAAAGGAAAAAGACGGAAAGAGAGGGAAATGAATAATGAAGGAGGAAAGGATGGAAGGGAATGAAGGAAGGAAGGAAGGGGAAAGGAATAAAGGAAAGAATGGGAAAGAAAGGAGGGAGGGACGTAAGGAAGGAAGGAAGGAAGGAAGGAAGGGAAAAGGAAGGAAGGAAGGAAGAATGAGGAAGAGGGGAAAGGAAGAAAGAAGGAAGAAAATAAGGAAGGAAGGAGAAAGGAAGGAGGGGAGGAAGGTAATGAAGGAAGAAGGAAGGAAAGGGAAAAGAAGGAAGAATGAAGGAAGGATGCAGAAAGGAAGGGTAGGAAAAAAGAAGGAAAGAGAGGGAAATGAATAAAAAAGGAAGGAGGAAAGGAGGAAAGGAAGGGAAAGGAAGGGAAGGGAAGGGAGGAAGGGGAAAGGAATAAAGGAAAGAATGGGAAAGAAAGGAGGAAGGGACGGAAGGAAGGAAGGGAGAAAGGAAAAAGGGAGGGGGGAGGAAGGAAAGAAGAAAAAAGAAGAAGGAAGAAAAGAAGAAGGAAAGAAAGAAGGAAGGAAGGAAGAGGAAGGAAGGAGGAAAGGAGGAAGAAGAAGGAAAAGAAAAAGGAAAGGGAGGGAGAGAGGGAGGGAGGGAGAGGAATAAAGGAAGGAATGGGAAAGAAATGAGGGAGGGAAGAAAGGAGACATCACAGCTAAAGTGGAATCAAACTGCATTCATTCTAGTGTTGCATACATTATTGTGAAATATTGATCTTAAAACAAATATTTTGATACTATTTTTTTAGTTGAAACCTATATTGCATCACCTAGGAAATCCCTTCCAGCCCCGAGTCCCGTCCCCCCACTCCGCAAACCATCTTGAGGTGGGGAGGGAATGTGAAGATCCCTTACCTTGCCAGCCAGGGTGGCAGGGCCCAGGAAGAGACAGGCTAGGTAGTTTCAGCTTAGAAGGCCTGGCAGAGAGCTGCTGGAGCCATCTTAGTTTAGGGAAAAGCTCCAGTTCAGAGAGGGGGAGTGGCCTAGGCCTGAGCCAGCCCAGCAACAGCCAGGACTGGTTGGAAAAGGGGGGGCGGAGTTAGTCAGTTGGAGGGAAAGAGAGCAGCTTAATTTGGACAGTTCAGTTCAGTTCTGGGTGAGGTTAGAGTAGGATTTGGGAGTTTTAGGAGTCTCTGTTAGGAATAGGCAGCTTGCCTGTAGTTTGCACAGCAAAGTAGGCTGTGGCAGACTGGGTTACAGCTATTTTAGAAAAGAAAATAGCTGGGTTTTGTTTTAGGAATTGTAACAAAGAAATGAACCATTCTCTCAAGTAACCGTTACGCTTCTAAGAACCAAGAACACTTTTATTGTAACAGCCAAGCCTCTGAACCTGCATTCACTTTTATTCTGTAACTTGTATTCAATAAACTCTTTCTTGTTATTTTTAAAATTTAAGCCTGAGTCAAGTGCCATTTTTGGTTTTGAGTCCTTTTTCTTGTTGAATCAACCTCTCCTGTTTCCCCTCAAAGAAAGCCCTTGAGAATACACAGTATTTGGTGGAGTAAAAAAGCCTTTTAATAATTTAAACAGCCTTTTAGCAGTCTAAATAGCTAGAGGGTTCGTGATTCTTCAGTTTATGGTGGCAGCGAAGGTTTTAAAGAAAGAGACATTCTCCAAACGCTATAAGAGCCAAAGTGGTGTGAATTCCTTATTGAAGGAGGGACAGTGTTGGGATCTGCTTGCCCCCTATCCAGTGATATTGTTTGGCCATCAAGAAATTATATCCTTATAATTTGGTGACAGTGGTGGGATTTCTTTGACCCCCCTGCCCAGACGGCCAATTGAGGAGTCCTTATAGTGAGCTTTTTAAAAAGTTATTTTTTATAACCAAATAAGAAGAGCTTGCATGAAGCCATGAACCATGTTTTTGCATGAAGTTACATCCTTCTGGAGGGTTCAGTAGGTCTTCGTTTGTTTTGCTAAATTGTTCATCTACACTGTAGGATTAATGCAGTTTGGAACCACTTTGACTGCTATGGCTCCATGCTATAGAATCATGTCTGTCTGCTGGGAGGACCTTGATTGTGACTTCTTGTCTGGCAGAAGGGGGATGGACTAGATGCCCTTAGGGGTCTCTTCCAGTGATGTCTCCTTCTTAAGAAGTTTTTGAGCTGAGGCAAAATGGTCATCAATTAGGATGGCTTTGACTGTGTCCTCCTGCTTGGCTGAAGGGGGATGGACTAGATGCCCTCTGGGGATCTCTTCCAACTCCAGGATTGTATAATAGATATATCGTTGTGTATATAGTGTATCTATCTATCCATCATCTCTATAGCTGGATGGCCATCTGCTGGGAGGACCTTGATTGTGTCCTCCTGCCTGACTGAAGGAGGATGGGCTAGATGCCCTTGAAAGGCCTCCTTTCAAGGGCATCTAGCCTTTGAGCTGAAGCTGGGTGGCCATCTGTTAGGAGGACTTTGATTGTGTCTTCCTGCCTGGCTGAAGGGAGGGTGGACTAGATGCCCTCTGGGGATCTCTTCCAACTCCAGGATTGTATAATAGATATATCGTGTATATAGTGTATCTATCTTTCCATAATCTCTATAGCTAGATGGCCATCTGCTGGGAGGACCTTGACCATGTCCTCCTGCCTGACTGAAGGAGGATGGGCTAGATGCCCTTGAAGGGCCTCCTCTAGAGGCTTTTGAGCTGAAGCTGGGTAGCCATCTGTTAGGAGGGCTTTGGTTGTGTCTTCCTGCCTGGCTGAAGGGGGGTGGACTAGATCCCCTTTAAAGGTATCTTTAGGTTGAGGTTTTTGAACAGAGGCTGGATGGCCATCTGTTAGGAGGGTTTTGACTATGTCCTCTTGCCTGGCTAAAGGGGGGTGGACTAGATGCACTCTGGGTGTCTCTTCCACTTTTAGGATTCTATGATAGATATATCATAGTGTATATAGTGTATCTATCAATCATCTCTATGGCTGGATGGCAGTCTGCTGGGAGGACCTTGACTGTGTCCTCCTGCTTGGCTGAGAAGGTGGACTAGATGCACTCTGGAGGTCTCTTCCAACTCTAGGATTGTATAATAGAGATACTATAGTGTACATAGTGTATCTATCAATCATCTCTATGGCTGGATGGCGGTCTGCTGGGAGGACCTTGACTGTGTCCTCCTGCCTGGCTGAAGGATGGACTAGATGCCCTTTAGGAGTCTCCTTCTTTGAAGGCTTTTGAGCTGAGGTCGGATGGCCATCTGTTGAGAGGGCTTTGACTGTGTCCCTCTGCATTATCCGGCTGAAATGCTTGCTGCTCCTTGGCGGCCTCCCTGCATGCCGTGCCGTTCTCTGCAAAGGGATGATGCCTGGAACAGCACGTCCCTTGCTGCTTATGCGCCCTGCATGCGCCTCCCTCCCTTTCCTTCTGCTCAAGCCATGTGCAGAGAGCGCGGAGATGCGATTAAACCAGAATGCATTGGATCTCTGCTTTGGAGAGACTCTAAACTCAAAGCACATTACCGTGGAGGAATTTGGAAAGGATTCCATTCTTTTGCTGGACTGGATTGGAACGTTTTTCATCTTGAAATATTCCACAACCTCCCTCATATAATTGGAAGGGACCCCAAAAGTTATCCAGTCCATCCCGCTCCTGCAATCTAGAAACACACAATCAAAGCCCTCCTGACAGATGGCCATGCAGTCTGGTGCTGACCTCTATAACAATGGAATTTGATTAACCCATTATTTATTTATTTATCGTGTCAGGAGCAACCAGACAGTTGTATTGCATTTTTTTTAACAAAACAAACAAACAAACAGACAAAAAACAAAGTTTGCAAGCTTGGTAGTTGATTAAATGTCCTTTGACCAGTAGCCGGCCACTTGGAGTGCCTCTGGTGTTACTATAAGAAGGTCCTCCATTGTGCATGTAGCAGGGCTCAGGTTGCATTGCAGCAGGTGGTCAGTGGTTTGCTGTTTTCCACACTCGCATGTCGTGGATTCCACTTTGTAGCCCCATTTCTGAAGGTTGGCTCTGCATCTTGTGGTGCCAGAGCACAGTCTGTTCAGCGCCTTCCAAGTCGCCCAGTTTTCTGTGTGCCCAGGGGGGAGTCTCTCATTTGGTATCAGTCATTGATTGAGGTTCTGGGTTTGAGCCTCCCACTTTTGGACTCTCGCTTGCTGGGGTGCTCCAGCACGTGTCTCTGTAGATCTTAGAAAACTATTTCTTGATTTAAGTCGTTGACGTGCTGGGTGATACTCAAACAAGGGATAAGCTGGAGATGTCTCTGCCTTGGTCCTTTTACTATTGGCTGCTACTTCCCGGTGGATTTTAGGTGGTGCAATACTGGCTAAACAGTGTAATTTCTCCAGTGATGTAGGGCGCAGACACCCTGTGATAATGTGGCATGTCTCATTAAGAGCCACATCCACTGTTTTAGTGTGATGAGATGTGTTCCACACTGGGCATGCATGCTCAGCATTATTGATAGTCATAGTATCACAGACATGGAAGGGATCCCCAAAGGCCATCCAATCCAGCCCCCTTCTGCCATCCAATGAAAGCCTTCCCAACAGATGGCCATCCATTTTCTATGGGAACGTAGAATATATATATGGAATAAACAAATCAGTACTAGAGTTAAAGTTCAATGGAAAATTAGAATATACATTTTTGGATTACCGTATATTCCGGCATATAAGACAACTGGGCGTATAAGACGACCCCCAACTTTTCCAATTAAAATATATTGTTAAGACAATTCCCATGCATAAGACTACACCCGCGTATAAGACGACCCCTGACTTTTGAGAAGATTTTCTTGGGTTAAAAAGTAGTCTTATACGCCAGAATATACTGTAACCAAATCAGGGATAGAATAAAGGTTCTATAGAAAAATCGAATATTTATATTTGGAATAAATAAGGCATAGGGTTAGGGCTCTATGGAAAAATTGTGTGTGTGTGTGTGTGTGTGTGTGAATGATTAAACAACTCAGGGATAGTTAGGATTCTGTGGAAACGTAGAATACATATTGTTTGATTAAACAAATCTGGGATAGAATTAGGGCAGTAAGAAAAATAAATTTCTTCTGAAGGGTCCTGTGACCCACAAATTTTGAGGGTTACTGCCTTGAATCAGCTTGATTGCATGGAACCCTAACTCTATCCCTGATTTGTTTAATCTATCTATCTATCTATCTATCTATCTATCTATCTATCTATCTAGTTCCACTTTGAGTCCCTCCAGGGGTGAGAAAACCATTATATCATAGAATCATAGAATCCTAGAGTTGGAAGAGACCTCCTGGGCCATCCAGTCCAACCCCCTGCCAAGAAGCAGGAATATTGCATTCAAATCACCCCTGACAGATGGCCATCCAGCCTCTGTTTAAAAGCTTCCAAAGAAGGAGCCTCCACCACACTCTGGGGCAGAGAGTTCCACTGCTGAATGGCTCTCACAGTCAGGAAGTTCTTCCTCATGTTCAGATGGAATCTCCTCTCTTGTAGTTTGAAGCCATTGTTCCGCGTCCTAGTCTCCAGGGAAGCAGAAAACAAGCTTGCTCCCTCCTCCCTGTGGCTTCCTCTCACATATTTATACACGGCTATCATATCTCCTCTTAGCCTTTTCTTCTTCAGGCTAAACATGCCCAGCTCCTTAAGCTGCTCCTCATAGGGCTTGCTCCTTTGATCATTTTGGTTGCCCTCCTCTGGACACATTCCAGCTTGTCAATATCTCTCTTGAATTGTGGTGCCCAGAATTGGATACAATATTCCAGGTGTGGTCTAACCAAAGCAGAATAGAGGGGTAGCATTACTTCCCTAGATCTAGACACTATGCTCCTATTGATGCAGGCCAAAATCCCATTGGCTTTTTTTGCCGCCATATCACATTGTTGGCTCATGTTTAACTTGTTGTCCACGAGGACTCCAAGATCTTTTTCACACGTACTGCTCTCAAGCCAGGCATCCCCCATTCTGTATCTTTGCATTTCGTTTTTCCTGCCAAAGTGGAGTATCTTGCATTTGTCACTGTTGAACTTCATTTTGTTAGTTTTGGCCCATCTCTCTAATCTGTCAAGATCGTTTTGAATCCTGCTCCTGTCCTCGGGAGTATTGGCTATCCCTCCCAATTTGGTGTCGTCTGCAAACTTGATGATCCTGCCTTCTAACCCTTCATCTAAGTCATTAATAAAGATGTTGAACAGGACCGGGCCCTGCGGCACTCCACTTGTCATTTCTTTCCAAGATGAAGAGGAAGCATTGGGGAGAATCTCCCTCTGGGTTCGTCCATTTAACCAATTACAGAATTATATAAAAGTGATATCTATCTATCTATCTATCTATCTATCTATCTATCTATCTATCTATCTATCATCTATCTATCTATCATCTATCTATCTATCATCTATCTATCTATCATCTATCTCTTCTACACACACACAAACATTCTATATTATATATATATATACATATATAGATAGGTAGATAGATAGATAGATAGATAGATATAGATATAGATATACATACACACTATATATGCACATACTATATATGTATGTATCTCCTCTATATATCCTTTGTCTATATATATATATGCACACCACATATATCTGATATACATATAACTAGATAGATAGATACATACATGCACATTATATATACATTATATATATCCTCTATATATCCTTTCTCTATATATATACTATACACACACACACATATACATATACACATGCACATACATACACACACATGTTCCAACCAATGGCCATGTGCATTTACACTGGAAAAAACATCATCTAACAAGTATCTATACAAAACACTGTAAAATCAACAGTTAAAAGCAGGATGCAAGCAGGATAAAACAGCATGCAAAATATACATTGTGAAGTGCAGTGTTGCAGGCGCAACGTGCACTAGGAACTGCACATTCACCAGTAAGAAGCCCATATAAAAGATCAGTCAAGTTAAAAACTTTAGTAAGAACCCTTTAGGAGTGGGCGTGTGTGTGTGTATCATATATATAGGAATATTTTAAGTGGGATCCCTCCTGTTTCCAGAAGCTAAGCAGGGCCCCACTTGGTTGGCCCCTAGATGGGAAGACACTCACCCGCCAGCAAAGAGCTTCTCCACATATTGCCGAATGAACTCGCGTTGCTCCACCGTGGCTTCGTCCTTGGCGGACTCGGTGCTCTGGTTGGAAGAATAGGATTCCGATGAGGACCGGCGGTGGTTGTTCCAGCTGTGATGGGTGGGAGAGTCCGTGGTGTCGTTCTCGCTGTCGGCTGACTCCGTGGCATCACTCTCCTCTTCGACTACATCATCGTCATTGTCCTTCATGTGGTCTAGGAACCCGTTACCATTGGCAGACAGAGGTGCGTTGGCGACAGATTCGGACGTGGAGGATGGCTCTGAGTCAAAGTCAATGAGGTTCCCCACTGGCACGTCGACGGCCTCCATGATCTCCCAACACTGCAGGTTTCAAATCTGGGATTGGGACATGGCTAGTGGAAAAATGGGGAAGCCATTCAAATGGGAGCGACGCCCGATGTTCAGTCCGAAAAAAAATCCCTTTCCGTCTAAGTCTCTTTCAAGGCATCTGGAGGAGCAAACAATGCAAATCAAATGGTTAATCAAAATTAAGAACACTATTAGAGATTTGTGGAAGATGAATGCGGAATCGGTAACATTAAGAAAATTAAGTGAACAATATGCTGTTTCTGATAATAATAATAATAATAATAATAATAATAATAATAATAATAAGGCATTGCATTGGAGAGCCAGTGAATGCTGAACATAAACATAATAATATATTGTTGCATAGGAGAGCTATAAACATAACGATGATGATGATGATGATGATGATGATGTGTTGCATAGGAGAGCCAGTGAGGTGTAATGGTTTGAATGTTGGGTTATGACTCTGGAGACCAGGATCTGAATCCATGCTCAGCTATAGAAAGCCAATTAGGGAGAGTCACACTCTCTCAGCCTCAGAGGACGGCAAAAGCAAAGCCCAGTTCTTGTGGGTGTTTTCGGGCTATATGGCCATGTTCTAGAGGCATTTCTCCTGACGTTTCGCCTGCATCTATGGCAACAACCTCTGAGGATGATTGCCATAGATGCAGGCGAAACGTCAGGAGAAATGCCTCTAGAACATGGCCGTATAGCGCGAAAAAACCCACAAGAACTGAGTGATTCCAGCCATGAAAGCCTTCGACAATACATTAAAAGCAAAGCCCTCTGAACACATCTTGATAGCGTCACGGGAGTCAGTGGCAAATGGAGACTCAGATACAGCAATACCTTCTTTATCAAAAACTTGAGGATTTGTTTTGTCCCACTTTCGTGAACTTCTGAGTCGACAGCTCCAGGCATGACACAGCGGCGTTGTAACCGGCACAGTTGTCCTTACATCCAAATGCGATGTTCAGGACTTTGGAGACATAGAAGGGCACTTCTTGCCCCGAGGAAGATAGAGAAAACACAGGGAACAGCGAGGCCGCCTTTCAAAATGCAGGAGCAAAACCCGCAGGCTTATTGTCATCCATTGGAAGCGACAAGCAGCAAAGGTTTAACAAGAGATCAAAGGGGGGAAAACAGACATTGGTTCTGCCTGCATTTAATCCTGACAGTCCCTCACCTGGTCAGCTCAGGTGAGCACAAACTGTTTGCAAAATGACGAGGAAGAAGGAGAGAAGTGGCTTCTTCTTTGTTTTGATCATAGCATGCCTTCAAATTGACTTGTGGCCACCGACATATTTGTTTCCAGAAATGTTCATAAGTGAAAGTTGGCTATTATTATTATTATTATTATTATTATTATTATTATTTATAACCCACTTTACTTCTCCTGCAAGAGACTCAAAGCAGCTTGTCATAAAAACATCCACATACAATTTATAATATACCAATATGCAAACACTAAAACAGTATTTTAAAAATTCCCAGTGAAAAACTATTAAAATATATTCAAAGTTTAAAACCACGTCTTCACACTTGTTCTTATTTTAATTTTACAGCTTTGGATATTTTATGGTTTTGGGCATTATTGTTCCTTTCCTCCTTTCAATTCCTTTCCTTTCTTTTCTAACTTTCCTTTTCTTCTTTTCCCCTTTTCCTTCCTTCCTTTTTTTCCCTTTCTCCCTTCCATCCATTCCTTTCTTTTCCTTCCCTCGCTTTTTCCTTTTCTTCCTTCCCTTTTCCTTTCCTTTCTTCCTTTCCTACTGCCCTGCCCTGCTCTTTCCCTCCTTCCATCCATTCGTCTCCTTCCTTCTCTTCACTTTTTTCCCTTCTTTATTTCCTTCCCTTCCTTTTTCCCTTTCTCCCTTCCTTCCTTTTATTTCCRTCTTACCTTTTTTTTCTTTTCCTAGTGCCCTGCACTTCCTTCCATTCTTTCCTCTTTTCCTTCCTTCTTTCTTTCCTGTTTTCCCTTTCCTGCCATCCCTTCCTTCCCTTCTCCTCTTTCTTTTACTTGCTTTSCTACTACCCAGCTCTTTCCTTCCWTCTATCCCTTCCTCTCTTTACTTTCTTTTCCTTCTTTCCTTCCCTTTCCCTCCTTTTTCCCTTTCTTTCTCCCTTTTCCTTCCTTCCATCCCTCCTTTTCTTCCTTCCTTTCCCTCCCTTCTTCCCTTTCCTTTAATCCCTTTCTTCCTTCTCTTCCCCTCCTTCCTTTCTTTTCTTTCTTTCCTACTGCTCCACTCCTTCTTTCCCTTCCTTCCTTTTATTCCCCTTTCTATTCCTTCCTTCCTTTCCCACTGCCCTGCACCTTTCTTTCTTTTCTCCTTCCATGTCTTCCTTTCTTTCCCCCTTTTCTACTGACCTGCTCCTTCCTTTCTGATCCCTCCTTTTTCCCCTTTCTATCTCCCTTTTCCTTCTATCCTATCTTCCTCRCTTCCTTTCTTTCCCTTCCTTCTCTCCTCCTCATTCCTTCCATCCCTTCCTTCCTCCTCCTCCTCTCTCTCCTTTCCTTTCTTCCTTTCCTTTCCTACTGCTCTGCCCTGCTCTGTCCTTCCCTTCTTTTCCTTCCTCTCTTTACTTTCTTTCCCTTCCTCCTTTCCTTCCTCTATCTCTTTCTTTCTRCCTTTTTCTTCCATCCCTCCCTTCCTTCCTTCCCCTATTTCCTTCCCCAATTTCCCTTCCTTTCAAAAGCAGGCCTGAATTTATAATAGGACCTATGCACTCCTAGCACCCCTCATGGATGACTATGCTGCCTAATGGTTATGGAGAGTTGCATTTTGGAGAGCCATAGATATCATTCCCAGACAGATATAGGATAACTGAAACCAAGGTTGCTCACTTTCTGTACTTTAACATATAAATACAACTGTTGGCCTTTGTTATCTGCAGGGCTTTGGGTTCCAGGACCCTTGTGGATGCCCAAATCCATGGATGCTCAAATTTCATGATCTACGTACAAGGACGTTGCAAAATGGCACTGTGATTATACAACTGAAAAGGTGCAATTTGCATAATTTATGGTGCCGAAACAAGGACCCCAGGCTTCCCCATCAAGCCGAAAGAATAGGCTGCAGAGCAGAAAACCATTTGCAAGAGAAAGCATCCCCAAATCATTCACATTATGCATTTTATCTGCCCTGTTAGATCCTGTGCTGCATTAGGGCAATTATAGCTTGGAAAGCTTCTCTTTTTAGCATCCCACGTTTACCTTACAACTGCAAGACCCAACTCCATCCATGCATCCATCCAATCATTCCTTTATATACATCCTGCTTTTCTGTCCCAAGCAGGACAAAAATGCAAAAATACACTATAATTCCTCCTCTATGGAGGATGCATTCCAAGGTTTCATGTGGATATGGGAAACCCTACTGAATGACCTAGAGATTTCTAGAGAGAAGACCTCCATAGGAATATCTAGCTCCTCCAAAGCAATTATATGGTTAGTTTCCAGGAGACATTTACCATATAGAGCAGCGTTTCTCAACCTGGGGGTCGGGACCCCTAAGGGGTCGCGAGAGGGTGTCCGAGGGGTCACCAAAGACCATCAGAAAACACATATTTCTGATGGTCTTAGGAACACAGTGCTCTCCGGAAGGTAGGTGAACTACATCTCCCCTAAATCACTGGCAATTCCTCCCAGATCCCTGCAGTATCTTCTGTTGATCATGGGGGTTCTATGTGGGAAGTTTGGCCCAATTCTATCATTGGTGGGATTCAAGGGGCACTTTGAGTGTAGGTGAACTATAAATCTCAGCAACTACAGCTCCCAAATGACAAGGCCTCTTTTCCCCAAATCCACTAGTGTTCACATGTGAGCATATTGAGTATCTGTGCCAAGTTTAGTCCAGATCCATTATTGTTTGAGTCCACAGTGCTCTCTGGATGTAAGTGAACTACAACTCCAAAACTCCAGGTCAATGCCCACCAAAACCTTCCAGTATTTTCTGTTAGTCATGGGAATTCTGTATACCAAGTTTGGTTCAATTCCCTCATTGGTGGAGTTCAGAATGCTCTTTGATTGTAGGTGTACTATAAATCTCAGCAACTACAACTCCCAAATGACAAAATCAATTATCCCCCCCAAACCCCACCAGTATTCAAATTGGGCCACCACAACATGAAGAACTGTATTAAGGGGTCGCGGCATTAGGAAGGTTGAGAAACACTGATATAGAGTCATGATGGAAGACCTAGACATTTCTATTAATAGCAGTTTCTTTATTTGGAGTTTTTTATGGGGGTTCTGCAAATGGGAAGGGCTGGCTGAAATTGCATACGTATATGCACCCTCCTAGTTTCTCATTGCTATAGTACTGGGTTACGTCAGTACTAGCTGCATTAAGTCACCATGGCTAAAAATAAAGCAAATAATAATAAGCATATAATGAAAATAAGAATAAAGCAAATACTAATAATAATAAAGCAAATGATAATAATGCAAATAATGATAAACTAATAACAATAATAAAGCAAATAAAAATAATGCAAATAATAATAATGATGCAAATAATAAAGCAAATAATAAAAAGCAAATTATGATAATAATGCAAATAATAATAAAACAAATAGCCCCGGACATGAAAAATGATAATAAAGCAAATAATAATAATTCAAATAATAATGCAAATAATAATAATTCAAATAATAAGTATATAATGATAATAATATAGCTAATATTACCACTAATAAAGCAAATAATATTAATGCAAATAATGACAATAATAATGCAAAAAATAATAAAGCAAATAATGATAATAATACAGCAAATACTAATAATAATAGTTATTGGTTATTGCCAAATGAAGGAATTCCAAAGAAACATACAAAATGGGACTTGGTGTGAAACTATTTTAAACAAAAAAAAATAGAGGTAATTTCTTAAAAGACAAAAAGGTAAGTTAAAGAAATAACAAACCAGGAGAGCAATTTTGATCACCTTGAAAGGAAAAAACATATAAAGGATCTTCAAAGAAAAGATGGAAGTCAAATCTAATAATAATGCAAATAATAATAATAAAGTATATAATGATAATAATATAGCTAATACTAGTAATAAAGCAAACAATACTGATAATAATGATAATAAAGTAAATAATAATACAATAATGCAAATAATAATAATAAAGCAAATACTACTACTAATAATAAAGCAAATGATAATAATGCAAATAATGATAAACTAATAACAATAATAAAGCAAATAAAAATAATGCAAGTAATAATAATGATGCAAATAATAAAGAATATAATAAAAAACAAATAATGATAATATGCAAAAATAATACAAAGTATATGATAATAATAATGATACAGGAAATATTATTAATAATAAAGCAAATAATGATAATAATAAAGCAAATAATAATAAAGCAAATGATAAAAATAATGCAAATAATAAAACAAGTAGCCCCTGACATGAAGAAATGATAATAATCATACAAATAATGATAACGAGGACCTTGAGATTGTCTGGGGAGGTTCTTCTCTCGATCCCGCCTGCCTCACAGGCACATCTGGCGGGGACGAGGGATAGGGCCTTCTCGGTGGTGGCCCCCCGGCTGTGGAACACCCTCCCTGTAGACATCAGACAGGCGCCCTCCCTTATGACATTCCGCAAGAGCCTAAAGACACGGTTATTTGAGAAGGCGTTTGACTAAGTGCTACAACAATTGGCAATGATGATTGGAACGGAATATGGATAACGAGATTGGTTTATGATTCTATGATGAGACGGCGCGGATGATTTAGTGTAATTGTATTATTGATAGTTATGTTGATATTCTGTTGTGATATTGCCTTATTGTAAACTGTTTTTATATGTTGTACACCGCCGTGAGTCGCCCTAGGGCTGAGAACGGCGGTCAGCAAATGCAGTAAATAAATAAATAAATAAATAAATAATGTAAATAATAATAATTCAAATAATAAGTATATAATGATAATAATACAGCAAATACTAATACGAATAAAGCAAATATTAATGCAAATAATGATAATAATAATGCAAAAATAATAAAGCAAATAATGATAATAATACAGCAAATACTAATAATAATGCAAATAATAATAATAAAGTATATAATGATAATAATACAGCTAATACTAATAATAAAGCAAATAATACTGATAATGATAATAAAGTAAATGATAATAATACAATAATGCAAATGATAATAATAAAGCAAATAATGATAATAATGGGTTGTTGTAGGGTTTTTCGGACTATATGGCCATGGTCTAGAGGCATTCTCTCCTGACGTTTCGCCTGCATCTATGGCAAGCATCCTCAGAGGTAGTGAGTTCTGTTGGAACTAGGAAAAAGGGTTTATATATCTGTGGAATGACCAGGGTGGGACAAAGGACTCTTGTCTGCTGGAGCTAGGTGTGAATGTTTCAACTGACCACCTGGATTAGCATATAATGGCCTGACAGTGCCTGGAGCAAAGAAAGGAGGAAACCATGAAAATGAACAAAATCTGGCTACCAGTATTAAAAAACTCTAAAATTAACAGCACAACAACAGAGAGGAAACAAACAAGGACATCTAATCACCTCTCAACAAAAGATTGCTCCAGGCACTGCCAGGCAATCAAATGCTAACCAAGGTGGTCAGTTGAAACATTCACACCTAGCTCCAACAGACAAGAGTCCTTTGTCCCACCCTGGTCATTCCACAGATATATAAACCCTTTTTCCTAGTTCCAACAGACCTCACTACCTCTGAGGATGCTTGCCATAGATGCAGGCGAAACGTCAGGAGAGAATGCCTCTAGATCATGGCCATATAGCCCAAAAAACCCTACAACAACCCAGTGATTCCGGCCATGGAAGCCTTCAACAATACAATGATAATAATAATGTAAATAATAATAAAGCAAATAATAATAATCAAAAAAATAGCTACTAGCATGAAAAAAATGAAAATAGTAATAGTAATAATAATAAGTCCTTTCTCTCTCTCATACTTTGCTTTCCAGCCTCCCACTCAGTTTGCTGGGAAAAGAAAAGGCAGAGCCATTTTCCACCCAAGTCAAGAGCGGTGTATTATTTTCCCAGCTGGACGTTGAGACTCTGCCTTCCCCCCTTGCTTTGCCTCCTGTCCTCATTACAAATAATTATACCTTTCCATGCAAATCAAGGAGTGACTGGCAGCATGACAAAGTGCCATCGCAGATGCTTCTTCCAGGCAAAGAGCAATATTATTTTCCCTAACAAGATGTGATTTTCCAAGCCCTTCTTTAACCCACAAAGCTGAGAAAAGTTGAACCCAGTAATTATTGCGTAAGACGTTTCGCCTGCATCTGTGGCAGGCATCCTCAGAGGTTGAGAGGTCTGTTGGAAACTAGGAAAATGTAGTTTATATATCTGTGGAATAATGTCCAGGGCAGGAGAAAGAAAGGACTCTTTGTTGGAGGTAGATGTGAATGTTTGAACTGGCCAACACTCAAAAACAGGGGAATTCCATACCATAAACAATCAGGGCCAGCTAATCACCTCCCAACAAAGGATTCCCGCAGGCAGTAAAAAGCCACACCTTGAAACCGCTAGATTCTAAAATTTTAACAGCAAATAAAGAACAACACTCAAAAATGGGTGAACTCCAGACAAGAAACAATCGGGGACAACTAATCACCTCTCAACAAAGGATTCCCCGAGGCAGTAAGAAGCCACACCATGAAACTGCTAGGCCATCAAATGCTAATCAAGGTGGGCAATTGAAACATTCACACCTACCTCCAACAGACAAGAGTTCTTTCTCCCACCCTAGACATTCCACAGATATAAGGTAAAGGTAAAGGTTTCCCCAGACATTAAGTCTAGTCATGTCTGACTCTGGGGGTTGGTGCTCATTTCCATTTCTAAGACGAAGAGCCAGCATTGTCCGTAGACACCTCCAAGGTCATGTGGCCAGCATGACTCCATGGAGCGCCGTTACCTTTTCACCAAAGCAGTACCTATTGATCTATTCACATTTGCGTATTTTCAAACTGTTAGGTTGGCAGAAGCTGAGCCTAACAGCGGGAGCTTACCCTGCTCCCTGGATTTGAACCGCCAATCTTTCGGTTAGCAAGTTCAGCAGCTCAGCGGTTTAACCCGCTGCGTCACCAGGGGCCTGATATTTTCCCCATTTTTCTAGTTTCCAACAGACCTCTGAGGATACCTGTCACAGATGCAGGCGAAACGTCAGGAGAGAATGCTTCTGGAACATGGCCATACAGCCCGGAAAACTCACAACAACCCAACGAACATTATGATGATGATGTTTATTTATATTCTGCTTTTTCTCTCCATATGGAGACTCAACGGCACTCCATGCAGTCATGGTGGCCACATGACATTGGAGGTGTCTATGGACAACGCCGGCACTTCAGCTTAGAAATGTAGATGAGCACCACACCCCAGAGTCAGACATGACTGGACTTAATGTCAGGGGACAACCTTTACCTTTACTACAGAGACTCAAAGCAACACAATTAAAAGCATTGCAATACGACTTAAAATATACAAAAATTAAAACAATATTAAACATAATTAATATTTAAAAATCAGGTGAAAACCATGTTGTAAACCGGCCTGAGTCCCTCTTCTGAGTTTGAGAAGACCGGTATATAAAACCTCTAAATAAATACAATAAAATAATAAAAGCATATAAGACCACAGAATTCCCTGACTAGATTGTAAACGTTTATTTTTGAGGATCAATGACCTCGTTTCAGACCCTTCGTCGTTGAGAAAAACACTGTCAAATCTTTCGCCTAACGTTTTTAGTATTGTTATCAACCTAAAGCAGAGGTGGGTTGGAGACATTGCCACCTTTATTCATGCTATACTTTTGGAAATGTAAGTACCGAAAAGAGAAACAAGAAGGAATGCAAGAAGTACTACTACCTGCGCAGCATTTCTCAGCATGCAAAGACTGGATAGGAAGCTCTTTGCATAGCAGGAATTACTAAAAAGTTGCCTAGCTTGTCATAATAAAAGCAGGAAAACACAGCCACCCTGAAGGAATAATCTCTTCGCGATGTCCGCAATGTCCAAACACACACACATATACACACAAAAAAATTAATTCTCCGCCACAGCTTTGCGAGAAAGGACGAGCATGAACCGCAGCAAACGGCACGACATCTGGCCACGGGCTAAAGCGGAAGAGATTACCTGTTTTGCTCGCCTTCGGCAAGGATGAAATGAGAAAAGTCACGCAAAGGAGGCGAGAGGTTGGGAGGATTGCAAGAGCGGCTGGCAGGGTGAGTGAGTCAAAACATCCTCCTCCTCCTCATCGCATCCTCATTATCCTTCCACCGCTGGAGCTTGGCATGCGTCACCGGCCCGCGAGCCTCCTTCCGCACACGCATCCCTCCTCTGTCCCCCAAACAGATGCTTCCCACCCCTTAACCAAGGCTGCAAACGGCCGGCTGGAAGGTCATTGGGGTCAACACCCCCCAATTTCTCTTGCAAAAGATGCATTGGAAGATGTATAAGTCTACCCCAACCTCCTGTACAAGTGTATTTATTTATTTATTGTCTCAGGAGCAAACCAAACAGTTGTATTGAATTTTTTAACAAACAAACAAAACACAAAGTTTGCAAGCTTGGTAGTTAATTAAATATCCTTTGGACAGTAGCTGGCCACTTGGAGTGCTTCTGGTGTTGCCGCAAGGAGGTCCTCCATTGTGCATGTGGCAGGGCTCAGGGTGCATTGCAGCAGGTGGTCTGTGGTTTGCTCTTCTCCACACTCGCATGTCGAGGATTCCACTTTGTAGCCCCATTTCTTAAGGTTGGCTCTGCATCTCGTGGTGCCAGAGCGCAGTCTGTTCAGCCCCTTCCAAGTCACCCAGTCTTCTGTGTGCCCAGGAGGGAGTCTCTCATCTGGTGTCATCCACGGATTGAGGTTCTGGGTTTGAGCTGCCACTTTTGGACTCTCGCTTGTCCCTGTAGGTCTTAGAAAACTTTTTCTTGATTTAAATCGTTGACGTGCTGGCTGATATCCAAGCAGGGGGTGGGCCGGAGATGTCACTGCCTTGGTCCTTTCACTATTGGCTGCTACTCCCCGGCAGATGTCAGGTGGTGCAATACCGGATAAACAGTGTAATTTCTCCAGTGGTGTAGGTCATCAGCAACCATTGTATTACAATTCTAACAGAGCAAAACAAACACACAGATTAAAAAGAAAAAGAAAAAAAACACACAGATTTTGCAAACTTGGTAGTTGGTTAAATGTCCTTTGACCAGTATCTGGCCACTTGGAGTGCCTCTGGTGTTGCCACAAGAAGGTCCTCCATTGTGCATGTGGCAGGGCTCAGGTTGCATTGCAGCAGGTGGTCTGTGGTTTGCTCTTCTCCACACTCGCATGTCGTGGATTCAACTTTGTAGCCCCATTTCTTAAGATTGGCTCTGCATCTCGTGGTGCCAGAGCGCAGTCTGTTCAGCGCCTTCCAAGTCGCCCAGTTTTCTGTGTGCCCAGGGGGAGTCTCTCATTTGGTATCAGCCATTGATTGAGGTTCTGGGTTTGAGCCTGCCACTTTTGGACTCTTGCTTGCTGGGGTGTTCCAGCAAGTGTCTCTGTAGATCTTAGAAAACTATTTCTTGATTTAAGTCGTTGACATGCTGGCTGATACCCAAACAGGGGATGAGCTGGAGATGTCACTGCCTTGGTCCTTTCACTATTGGTTGCTACTCCCCGGTGGATGTTAGGTGGTGCAATACCGGCTAAACAGTGTAATTTCTCCAGTGGTGTAGGGCACAGACACCCCATGATAATGCGGCATGTCTCATTAAGAGCCACATCTACTGTTTTAGCGTGGTGAGATGTGTTCCACACTGGGCATGCATACTCAGCAGCAGAGTAGCATAGCACAAGGGCAGATGTCTTCACTGTGTCTGGTTGTGATCCCCAGGTTTCGTATGATATTGTTTCTAGCACCCACTTTTTGCTTGATATTCAGGCAGTGCTTCTTGTAGGTTAGAGCACGGTCCAGGGTCACTCCCAGGTATTTGGGTGCGCTGCAATGCTCCAGTGGGATTCTTTCCGAGGTAATCCTCAGAGCTCGGGATGCTTGTCTGTTCTTAAGGTGAAAAACACATGTCTGTGTTTTAGATGGATTAGGGATCAGCTGGTTTTCCCTGTAATAGGCAGGAAGTGCACCTAGAGATTCAAGTTGATTCTACAAAATCTTTATTAATGACTTAGACGAAGAGCTAGAAGGCATGATCATCAAGTTTGCAGACGACACCAAATTGGGAGGGATAGCCAGTACTCCAGAGGACAAGAGCAGGATTCAAAACGATCTTGACAGATTAGAGATATGGGCCAAAACTAACAAAATGGAGTTCAACGGGGACAAATGCAAGATACTCCACTTTGGCAGGAAAAATGAAATGCAAAGATACAGAATGGGGGATGCCTGGCTTGAGAGCAGTACGTGTGAAAAATATCTTGGAGTCCTCGTGGACAACAAGTTAAACATGAGCCAACAATGTGATGTGGCAGCAAAAAAGCCAATGGGATTTTGGCCTGCATCCATAAGAGCATAGTGTCTAGATCTAGGGAAGTCATGCTACCCCTCTATTCTGCTTTGGTTAGATCACACCTGGAATATTGTGTCCAATTCTGGGCACCACAGTTGAAGAGAGATATTGACAAGCTGGAATGTGTCCAGAGGAGAGCGACTAAAATGATCAAGGGTCTGGAGAACAAGCCCTATGAGGAGCGGCTTAAGGAGCTGGGCATGTTTAGCCTGAAGAAGAGAAGGCTGAGAGGGGATATGATAGCCATGTATAAATATGTGAGAGGAAGCCACAAGGAGGAGGGAGCAAGCTTGTTTTCTGCTTCCCTGGAGACTAGGACGCGGAACAATGGCTTCAAACTACAAGAGAGGAGATTCCATCTGAACATGAGGAAGAACTTCCTGACTGTGAGAGCCGTTCAGCAGTGGAACTCTCTGCCCCGGAGTGTGGTGGAGGCTCCTTCTTTGGAAGCTTTTAAACAGAGGCTGGATGGCCATCTGTCAGGGGTGATTTGAATGCAACATTCCTGCTTCTTGGCAGGGGGTTGGACTGGATGGCCCATGAGGCCTCTTCCAACTCTTTGATTCTATGATTCTATGATTCTTAGTCAACTCCATCTATACGTCTCCATCATACACAAGTCAATTCCGTGTCCAAGTCTACCTTATGTATAAGTTGGCTCTTTGTATACGTTCTCCTCCTGTACAAGTTGATTCTATATAAAAGTCTACATCATATCTGTCAATATCATGTCTAAGTTGACCCCATGCCTAAGTCAACTTCCTGTACAAATCATTTCCAATATAATCTACATCACATACAAGTTGACCCCAAGTCTAAGTCTACCTTATATAGAAGTTGACCCCATGTATGTCAACCTCCTCTGCAAATTGACTCCATATATGCCTATAGGTTGACGTCCTGTACAAGTTGACTCCATATATAAGTCTACTTGATATACAAGTCAACCCCATGTCCAAGTCTATCTTATGTGTAAGGTGACTCTTTGTATAACTTGCCCTGCTGTACAAGTTGATTCTATATATAAGACTACATTATGTCTACGCTGAGTCCATGTCTGAGTTGACCTTATGTATGTTGACGCTATATATACCTCATTGTCTCTTGTATAAGTTGAGGTCCAAATTATGGGTTTTAATATGAGCCCTGTATAAGTCGAGGGGTGTTTTGCAGGAAGAGGAAAACACCAGCACTGTTTAAAATACTCATATTGAGTAAGCAGGTCAGCTGTGGTTAGTGCTTGGATGGGGGACTACCAACAAATCCTAGCTGCTGTAAGTTATATTTCAGAGGAAGGGGCTCTGAGTATTCATTGCATACCAAAACATGGTGAAATTCAAGGTATTGCCCTAAATCGGCTCGAAAACATGTATAACCGCATGAACTGCAATGAAATACAGAAGCGGAAGCATCTGTGAACACTTGGAAAAACAAGCCTCAGGTTGAAATGTGCAGCTCAGGCGCATGAAGGATGGGTGCATCGATCCAGGGTTGTGCAAGTAGATTGGGGACCCCCTAGGAGACAGAACACATTGCAAAGCGCATGGATGGCCTCCCTTTTCAATGCCAGCCGTCACAATCTGCTCAGCGCAGCGAGACTGAACATGTCTCCAAACTTGTAAGGAAAACAACAAAGGATGGCTCCATGCGAAGCCCAGGATCAACAAAGCATGGGAACGCAGATGATCCAACGCAGACCCAAACCCTCCCCCTTTCTACTTTTATCCTCTTGCAGCCAGGAAATCTGCTGCGGACGGACGCGTCAGAGGAGGAAAATTATGCGCCCAGTGACTCATTCTCAGTGACATTTAGAAAAAGCAACGGGGAGCCAGAGAGGAGAGAAAGGAAAATTTTATCAGGTTGGAGCTGCACAGCATCCGCTTCCTTCTTCCGGGTGCAATTCCAGAAGTGACAGGTCCTTGGCAAATGCAAACCATGGCAATAGCAGAAAAGGGGGCAACGGAGGGGAAAAGATACTAATAATACTTCTTATCCAACTCTCTTTTCGTGGCTTGAGGGCGGGTTGCAGAATAATTAAAACACATAAACATTGTAAAAGTGTCAGAGATGCACATATTAAGATATATTTTTACACAAGAGACATATTAAAATGCATTTCTATAAAATACTAGCTGTACTCACCACACGTTGCTGTGGCCAACCTTCCCTCCCTCTTTCTCTCCTTCTTTCTTTCTCTCCTTCCTTCCCTCCTTCTTTCCTTCTTCCTCTCCTTCCTTCCTTCTCTACTCTTCTTTCTTTCCTTCTTTATCTCCTTCCCTCCTTCTTTTCCTCCTTTTTCTTTCCTCTTTCCTTCTTTCTCTTCCTCCTTCTTTCCTTCTTCCCTCTTTTGTTCTTTCCTTCTCTCCTTCTTTCCCTCCCTCTCCTTCTCTCCTTCCTTCTCTACTCTTCTTTCTTCTCCCTCCTTCTTCTCTTCTCTCCTCCTCTTCTCTACTCTTCTTTCTTTCCTTCTTTCTCTCCTTCCCTCCCTCTTTCTTCCTCCTCCTTCTTCTCTTCTTTCTTTCCTTCTCTCTCCTTCCCTCCTTCATTCCCTCTTTCTCTCCCTCCTTCTCTCCTTCCTTCCTTCTCTACCCTTCTTTCTCTCCTTCCCTCCTTCTCCTTCCTTCTTCCTCTCTCTCCTCCCCCTTCTCTCCCCTTCTTTCCCTCTTCTCTCCCTCCTCTCCTCCTTCTTTCTCTCCTCTTTCTTTCCTTCTTCTCTCTTTTCCCCTCCTTCTTTCTCCTTCCTCCCTTCTCTCCTTTTTTCCCTCTTTCTCTCCTTCCCTCCTTCTTTCCCTCTTTCTCTCCTCTCCTTCCTTCTTTCTCTACCCTTCT